AGAAACAGCTGGACCTCATGGAGGGAGCTGATGATTGGAGGAAACCGTCACCGATAGGTTGGAATGGAGCCACATGAAGAGACACTTGGCTGAGCAGGTGAGATGAAGTTTGAATTTACGCTTCGGCTTCATATAAGAAAAGAGGCAGTGCTTTCAGACCTCAAATAATGCAAAGAAAACAAGTTCATATTCATTTGGAAACAACAATATTAATGTTGAAGAGTTCAGAAATCAATATTTGCCAGTATGTAATAAACTAATACTCCTACTAAACAAAGCAGTCAAGCTCAGTTTATTATTCAGTTTTAAATGTTTTCTATCTGAGTCTTTGACTTGCACCATTCACTCCTCCTGGATGGGAACACAGAGACAGTCGGCGTTAGTTTGCATTGTCTACTTTTAACCGCTCCGTCATACACACGGTGACAGAGGAGAGGAAATCTGCCGTTTCAACTGCATTTTGTGGACTTCCTGATAGTTAAGAATTACAACAGTCCAGTTTTAAAGCAACAAGTACATGGACTAGTTTTTATCATCATTTCTGGACAGGATGTTTCTAATTTTGGAAATATTATTATGCTTATTATGGGATTTAAGTCGGCCAGAACAACATTGAGGTTCTTTATTTAATGCCGTCAAAAAGCAAATGATTGAGAAAGCTTGTAAAAACCTGTATTTGTTTCAGATAATATTCACGACATTGAGTTTTCTAAAAAGGTCTTGGATTTTTTTTTTTTGTCAAATTGGTCGCATGTGGCGCCCTCTAGTGGTGATCCCAGTGCTTTTAGTACATGCAAAGTATTTCATGTTATACAGACAAAATAACTCGGAATTATTTGTAAGTATTCATAAATTTCAGAATTTTCAACAATTATTTATTTAAGTAACGTACTTAAATAAATAATTTAAGTTCTGCTGAATCTATAATTCAAATGAATCTATAAGATTCAGCAGAGCTGCAGTATTTTAAAAACATAATATTTTTTCTTTCATCAATATAGAATAGTCTGTCTAGAAACAAATAGACGAGATACAGCGCAGTTTATGAAATGCACACACATTTTTATTCTGTAAAATATTTAAGTGTAGTTGGAAAGTTTTATCTTCACAAGCAAACAACAACAAAAATCCTTATAATGTAAGTTTTATCACAATGTGTGTTATTATAAAGGATCACTGCTCTTATTTGAGAAATATTTATCTATCATGCTGTATGGGTAAAAAAAAGGATTTTATATATATATATATATATATATATATATATATATATATATATATAAAAAAATTCCCTTCTCACCCACCGCGGGTGGTTCTTATCCTCTGAGCTCGGGTCCTCTACCAGAGGCCTGGGAGCTTGAGGTTCTGCGCAGTATCTTGGCTGTGCCAAGGACTGCACATTTCTGGACTGAGATGTCTGATGTTGTTCCTGGGATCTGTTGTAGCCACTGCTCCAGTTTGGGGGTTACTGCCCCCGAGGGCCCCGATGACCACAGGCACCACTGTGGTCTTCACCTTCCAGGCCCTCTCCAGTTCTTCCCTGAGGCCCTGTATTTCTCTAGTTTCTCGTGCTCCTTTTTCCTGATGTTGCAATCACTTGGTATTGCTACATCTACCACAACGGCTTTCCTCTGATGTTTCCACTACGACAATGTCTGGTTGGTTCGCCATTACCATTTTGTCTGTCTGGATCTGGAAGTCCCACAGGATCTTAGCTCTGGCGTTCTCCACCACCTTTGGGGGTGTTTCCCACTTTGATCTTGGGGTTTCCAGTCCATATTCTGCACAGATGTTTCTGTACACTATGCCTGCCACTTGGTTATGTCGCTCCATGTACGCTTTCCCTGCCAGTATCTTGCACCCTGCTGTGATGTGCTGGACTGTCTCAGGGGCCTCCTTGCACAACCTACACCTTGGGTCTTGTCTGGTGTGGTAGATCTGGGCCTCTATTGCTCTGGTGTTTAGGGCCTGTTCCTGGGCTGCCAGGATGAGGGCCTCTGTGCTGTCCTTGAGTCCGCTTTTTCCAGCCATTGGTAGGATTTACTGATATCAGCCACTTGGGTTATTTGCTGGTGGTACATCCCATGTAGGGGCTTGTCCTCCCATGATGGTATCTCTGGCACCTCAACCTCCGTTCCCTGTTGTCTGAGACATTCACTGAGCACATTGTCTGTTGAGGCTTTGTCCCTGATGTATTATGGATCTTAGTTGTTTCGTCCTGGACAGTGGTTCTCACACTCACTAGTCTCTGCCTCCTTCCTTGCGGCTCGTGTACAGTCTCAGGGTGCTGGATTTGGGATGGAACCCTCCATGCATTGTTAGTAGCTTTCTGGTCTTAATATCTGTGGCTTTTATCTCCTCCTTTGGCCAGCTAATTATTCCAGCAGGGTATCTGATTACTGGCAAGGCATAGCTGTTTATCGCACGGATTTTGTTCTTGCCATTGAGCTGGCTTCTCAGGACTTGCCTTATTCGTTGGAGGTATTTAGCTGTGGCTCCTTTCCTTGTGACCTCATCGAGGTTGCCATTTGCTTGTGGTATACCTAGGTACTTGTAACTGTCCTCTATGTCTGCTATTGTTCCTTCTGGGAGTGAGACCCCTTCTGTGTGGATGACCTTCCCCCTCTTTGTGACCAGCCGACCACACTTCTCTAGTCCGAATGACATCCCAATGTCCGTGCTGTAGATCCTGGTGGTGTGGATCAGTGAGTCTATGTCTCGCTCACACTTGGCGTACAGCTTGATGTCATCCATGTAGAGTAGGTGACTGATATTGGCCCATTTTTGAGTCTGTATCCGTAGCCAGTCTTGTTGATAACTTGGCTGAGGGGGTTCAGGCCTATGCAGAACAGTAGCGGGGACAGAGCATCTCCTTGGTATATGCCACATTGATGGACACTTGTGCAAGTGGTTTGCAGTTGGCTTCAAGGGTGGTTTTCCACAGCCTCATCGAGTTTGCAATGAAGGCTCTCAGAGTCCTGTTGATGTTATACATCTCTAAGCATTCAATGATCCAAGTATGCGGCATTGAGTCATAGGCTTTCTTGTAATCGATCCAAGCCATGCACAGGTTGGTGTGTCGGGTTTTGCAGTCTCGGGCAACTGTGCGGTCTACGAGGAGTTGGTGTTTGGCTCCTCTGCTATTTACACCGATACCCTTCTGTGCCGTGCTCATGTGTTTATCCATGTGTTTGCTTATCTTGGCCGCTATGATGCCTGACATGAGCTTCCAGGTTGTGGAGAGGCAGGTTATTGGTCGGTAGTTGGGTGGGACTGGACCTTTTGATGGATCCTTCTGGATTAGGATTGTCCGCCCTTCAGTTAACCATTCAGGGTGAGTCCCACTTTGTAGCAGCTGGTTCATTTGGGCTGCCATTCGCTCATGGAGAGCAGTGAGTTTCTTTAGCCAGTAGGCATGGATCATGTCAGGCCCTGGTGCTGTCCAGTTTTTCATACCTGAGACTCTTTCTTGGACATCTGTCACAGTGATGGTTACCGGGGCTTGCTCAGGGAGGTTGCTGTGGTCCTCTCGTAGAGAGATCAGCCACTGTGCATTGCTGTTGTGGGACGCCTCCCTTTCCCATATGCCTTTCCAGTATTGTTCCGTCTCCAGCCTTGGTGGGTCTGCTCTGTTGTTATTGTTACCCTGCCATTGAGAGTACACCTTAGCTGGTTGAGTGGAGAAGAGCCGGTTAATCCTTCTGGATTCATTCTCCCTTGTGTATCTCTTTAGGCGGCTGGACAAGGCTTGGAGCCTCTGTTTGGCAGTCTCGAGTGCTTCAGGTATGGGCATCTGGCTGTACTTTCTGGGTACTGGTCTTTTCATTGCACCCTTGTGGAGCTCTGACAGTTGGCTCACTTCCCTCCTTGTTACCTTGATTTAGCCTCTAACCGTCTTTTCCATGGTGGGTATTGGGTCTCATGGTTGCTCTTATAGCCAAGTATCTCAAGGATCATTGGTTTCTGTTATGGTGTTGGTAGGGATCGTTCTCAATGCTGCATTCACATTCTCAATGAGACTTTCAGATGGTACTTCACTCAGCCGTTGTAATTGGCGCCGGGGAGGCCTGGTTGTCATTCGGGTCATGATTCTCTCTCTCAGGTCAGCAGCTGTCTCGTTCAGCTCTGTTTCGCTCATTGGGGCCGTGTATCCCCTCACTGGGTGGGGACTTGTAGTTAAGTCCCCACAGTCCTGACATCCGGGTTCCTCCCTTTTGCCGTAGCATTTGTGTTGTATCTCGTCAATCTCAAGTTGTGATAGCAGTTGCCGTTTGCGGATGTTGGAACACTGAGCTACTAGTTGTTTAGCGCTTAGTGTTGACTGGGGATGTCGAAGTAACCATTCCTTCCCCAGTCTTTGCATGTAACCTCTCTCACTAGGGTTACTTGAGTAGTAGCATTCCAACAGATCCACATTTTCATCTCTCGCCCATTTCCGTCTTGTTCCAGTAGCCCATTTGTCATCAAGGTGCTCTGGTTCCCCAACACCTGACGCAGACCTTGTTTGGCCGGGCGACGTCTGAGCCGGCATGTTATGCAACTTAGTATCTCTCATGGTATGAGGTAGGCAGTAGCTTGAAGGGTCTTGCCTAAGGACCCAGACTGGATTTGAACCCTGCCCTCTCGGGTGATATACTGATGCCTTATGTATTGAGCTATCCAGTCAGCTTATATATATATATATATATATATATATATATATATATATATATATATATATTATATATATATTATATATATATATATATATATATATATATATAATTTTTTTTTTGAGTAAAAATATGAACTCTGTCTTTTTTTGGGTAGCCACCTCAGTAAATAACTGTGTCACTAAAGTTGAGCATTGTAAATTAATATATTGGTTCAGTTACGAAATGGTATAATTTCCCATTTGAATGATCAGCCGCTCGAACAGTTAAGTAAATATTTACTTCCACTCTGCCGATGTAAAGCCTCTCCACCCAGCGGAACTGATGTGCTGAACACAACACGGACTTGTTTTGGTGTAACACATAACATCTTCGCGGTGCTGCAACCTTCCTGCTAGAGACATGTGTACATCAAAACGGAAAACTTCTTGTAGTTTAATCGCTTTCGGTGTAAGTACTGTTGTTAGTCGTATATCGTAAAAATAGTTTTGACTTCCGCATTAAGCTGATGGAAGCGGTTTAGCTGCTCTCCTTAGCATTAGCTCGGAGCTAGCTTGTTAACAAACTTTGAACTCTTCTTCGACCGAGTGAAACGTTTGGCTTTTTGTGATCCTCCAAACGATTTAGCCACACATTGATAATGTAATTTGTTGGAGCTTTACTCTTATTAATCATTTATTGTCGTTTTGATTTTTCTATTAAAGTTAGTCGCTTAAATTTCAGTGATGTTTCAGCTGATGAACGCGTTACTGTGACTTTAAGAGGACAGTGAACGCTTATGGACCTCTGAGCCAAACATAAAGTTCTCCATTACCAGGTGTATCTGTATTGATTGGTGATTGACAATAAAAAGTAGATGCAGCAGGAGAAACTGTGCATTTTACTAAAGTAAGAGTAGCACTACTTTCATTAGTAAAACTATTTAGTTACTTAACTGTAGAAAAAAGTTTTTGGTAGAAAAGGTTCTCTAGTTCTGAGTGTTTGAGCAAACATCCGATCGATTAATTAAGAATTATGTGATTCAGTAGACAATTATATTAAATTATGTGCAAATTCTGATGTTTTTAAAGACTAAAATGAGGGAAAAAACAAATAATCAGAAATGGGTACCCCCAAATTTTATTCAACTGAGAGTTCAGCATATTTTTGACTGAATTAAAAGTAAAAAGTTACTTGAGAAATTTCCATTAAATTTCTCAAGTAAGAGTAAAAAAATATTTTGTAAAAAGTCGACTCAAATACTGAGTAACCGATTGAAACCTCAGTAATTTAATATTTAAAAATTATATAAACATGTGGACTAAAACATAGTTATGTGGAAATTTTGGGATTTAAGGATCAAAATGAAAATAATATATATAACATAATTACAAAATCAGGCAACTTAAATATTTGTAGGTTATGAATATGAGAGGGGAAGGAAATCTTCGACGTGGTCCTTTTAAAAATAATGTAAAATTGCATGTCAATGGTTTTATAATTTGCTTTTTACTTGTTCTTGTTTTTACTTTCCGTCTGTTCAAAATAAATAGATTACATGTCACACTCATAGTGTTGTTTTATTAGTTTTAACATTGTTTTTTCTGAGGCTAGAGATTCTTAATTTTTAAATTTGCCTGTTTAATTATTCTGTGTTTTTGTGTGACTTTCTTCAGGCTACAGAAGACGGACTCTCCTGAAATCCTCTTCACTGTTTCTCCATCATGAGTGGCTCAAAGCCGGACATCCTGTGGTCTCCTCACCACCCCGACCGCTACGTCATCTGCGACTCTGAGCTGGGCCTGTACAGCATCGGACCTGTGGGCAGCACCGAAACAAAACCTGGCACTCTCTCCCTCTCTGAGGAAACTGCTGCTACGTTACTAGCCATAAACTCTGACACTCCATACATGAAATGTGTGGCATGGTACCCAAAACATGAGCCTGAATGTTTGCTGGCTGTGGGACAAGCTAACGGCAGAGTTGTGCTCACCAGTTTGGGCCAGAACCACAACTCCACGTGTAAAGAGCTGGTGGGGAAAGAGTTTGTGCCCAAGCATGCCCGGCAGTGCAACACGTTAGCCTGGAACCCGGTGGACAGCAACCTACTAGCAGCTGGGCTGGATAAGCACCGTGCAGACTTCTCTGTCCTCATATGGGATATAAGCAGTAAATTTGCCCCAGAAACCAGCGTAGCAGCTGAGAAAATCCGCCTCTCGTCTGTTGATCTGGACTCCAGCACGGTGGTGACCAAGCCGCTGTATGAGCTGGGCCAAAACGATGCCTGCCTGTCCCTCTGCTGGCTGCTTCGAGACACGAAGCTGCTCTTGGCTGGCATGCACAGAAACCTCGCAATATTTGACCTGAGGAACACGAGCCAGAAAACGTTTGTGAACACTAAGGCCATCCAGGGGGTGACGGTCGATCCACACTTTCCCGACCGCGTGGCGTCCTTCTTCGAAGGCCAGGTGGCCATTTGGGACCTGAGGAAGTTTGAGAAGCCGGTGCTGACCCTCACAGAGCAGCCAAAGCCTCTCACTAAGGTACGGTCAGATGTTTTCTCTGTTTTATTGATTTATTCAAAAAGGAAGTTCTTCAAGATTAACAACCTTTTCATTTTTCAAGGAAATGTAGCAAATAAGGCTTAACGTTACAAGAGAGAAGTTTGACATGATCATCAAACTGAATAAACAAAATGAAACAAAAAAGTAAACATAGTGAAGGTACAAAGTCCAGTTTAAAAACAGCAGTGCCGCTCGTCAGTTATAAAGTCTTAAAAAGAGATTCATGCTGCTGTTTACTTTTTCTGCTTTATACCAGAGTGAAAAAATTAAAAAACTCCAGTTTCAATTCAGAGAAAAGTTATGAGTAATAAATAAATCGTAAAAAGATTCACACATTTTTTTTATCACTGTCTGAAGTGAGGGTAGATAAAGCTTTTTTATTACCAAAATTATTTCAGCTTGCTAAATGTCAGAGAAATTAGTGACATTTTTGGAACTTTGTATATTGTTTAAGCTTTTAATTTGAGCAGGAATGTTATTTACATATTGGATTGTTGGGAGGTAATTAATATTTATTTTTCAGAATTTCTCAATGGCGTTTTGATCTGTGTAATTGAAATAAAGATTGTCTTATAATTTAAACGTTAATGTTATTTTAACAGGACATTTACTTTTTTTTTTCTGTTAAATCAGCATTTTGTTCTCTGACAATTCAGGCATGTATGAGAGATGTTTCAAAACAACACTTTACATAATAGCTGTAATGAATGATGTTCATTACACGTTGCATACCTCCCAAATAAGTAACAGTAAAGCCTTAAATTCACTTGAGAGCTGGAAAGGCTTAGAAAAGTTTACGTTTGCAACTTAAAATACTGAATAAAAACAACTTTAGCTTTAGGACATAATTTAAAAAATGCATGTTTAAAACATATTCTCATTTACATCATGCACACTTGCTGTTTTTGTATATTTAGCGACATTTCAGACACAAAAAAATTTGGCATCGGCCAAAATGGGAAGGTTGCTAATGAGCAGTAGACATTGAAACTGTAATCAGTGCTCTCCTACTTCATTTGTATTGTTCTTACCTCCAAAGTGGGCTGCTGGAAAAGTTTGAAAACTTACCTTAAAAGTGCTTGAATTTCACTGTTGGAGAAATGGATGGTAAATAAAGATTATTAACATCAGAATAGTTGAAGTTAAGTTTTAAACACTTACATGTTTAAAAACGACAAATATCGGCCGATACAGATGTTTCTACAGATTTATTGCGTCCATTAAATCAGAGTTTTCCTCTGTGTCCGCCAGGTGGCGTGGTGTCCGACTCGCACCGGCCTTCTGGCGACGCTCACACGCGACAGCAACATCATCCGCCTGTACGACATGCAGCACACTCCCACCCCCATCGGCGACGAGACAGAGCCCACCATCATCGAGCGAAGCGTGCAGCCCTGCGACAGCCAGATCGGCAGCTTCGCCTGGCACCCCTCCTCCCAAAACCGCATGGTGGTGGTCTCCGCCGCCAACCGGGTCATGACCGACTTCACCGTGTTCGAGCGCATCTCTCTGGCCTGGAGCTCCACGGCGTCGCTCATGTGGGCCTGCGGCCGACACCTGTACAGCTGCGTCGAGGACGAGGCCGAAGGGACGGACGGCGAAGCCGAGAAAGACATCGCCACCAAGATGAGGGAGCGAGCTCAGTCCAGGTACGGACACGACACCGTCCAGGTTTGGAAGAACCACCTGCTGGCCGGAGGGAGCGACCCGCAGCTCAGGTCGTTATGGTTCGACCTGTTCTATATCCTTTCACCATGAAACCTTTTGTGCCTGTGACAGAGTTTCCCCCTGACAGCCAGCCGCGTCCGGTCGAAGCTTTAGCTTGGTGTGTTTAATAAAGAAAATGTTTAAAGTTGACAGGAAATTTGAAAATACAACTAGGCAATTGTTTGTTATTGGAAGTCATTATTAACAACATCTAAGCACCAACTAGAATCAAAGACAAACATAAAATAAATAAACGAGGAATACTTAGCCTGGTGGGGAAGCAAGTAAAGCCTGGTGGCCCTCCAGGCTTATAATACGATGGGGAAACCCTGTAGTGTTCCTGTTTGTGAAAAGTTTTTTGGGTTGTTTTTATCAAATAACTGATGATAGGCCTTTTGAAATAAGCAATAAATGAAGTAATTACATGATAAATTAAAATAAGCTCAATAGTTTCCATTCGCGTGATCCATCGTTGTTCTTTTTCGACCAAAACTGGATGATGAAAGTCTTCAGTCTGGTGTTTTGGTTCCAACGAGCCTTTTTTTGTTGGTTCTGTTGTTTGGTTTATTTATTTTGGATATTTAAAATGTCTTCCAGCTCCAGTGTTAAATGTTTGTTAGAATATAAAGTTTATTGATCTTTCAAATCAAATAAAATTTTATTTGTATAGCAAATTTCAGCAACAAGGTATTTCAAAGTGTTTTAAATCATAAAAACATAAAAATGCAAAAAGTTACAGAACACACAGCAAACAACTGGAACGGTACATTTTGTCACACATCAGATTATTGATTACTGTTCTACTGATTATGTTTCAAAGCAACTCTGAACTTGTTAGTGTTTAGTCTGCATTTAAAGGAACTCAGTGTTTTGGCTGTTTTGCAGTTTTCTGGAAGTTTGTTCCAGATTTGTGGTGCATAGAAGCTGGAAGCTGCTTCTACATGTTTGGTTCTGGTTCTGGTTCTAGCAGACCAGAACCAGAAGACCTGTGAGCTCTGGAAGGTTGCTGTGAAAACAGCAGCAGATCTTTACTGTGTTGTGGTGCCGAACCGTTCAGGGATTTAGAAACTAACAGCAGTATTTTAAAGTCTGTCCTCTGAGCTGCAGGGAGTCAGTGACTGCAGAATGGGGCGATGTGCTCCGACTTCCTGGTTTTAGTCAGAACAACAGCAGCAGCAGCAGCGTTCTGCCGTTATGGATCTTATGTGTTCATTCTCAGTACCAGTATTTGGATCAATTGACATGAGACATGTTCATCTTTTATCAGAACGGGAACATTTGTTACATTTCCTATTCAAGGATCACATATGAAGCAGTGTTCAGAGGACGCCGAGCTGAAACTGCCAGGAAACAAGCAGTTTGTGGTTTATTCCGGCATCAAGAACATTGTGAAGACGAGCTCCGGTAAGAAAACAAATCATTGGCCTGAAGCATCCATTTGGGTTGTTATGGCCACTCCTGTTTAATCCTCTGTTTTCCTGAAGGCACGACGGAGAGCCGCAGGTGCTGGAGCGGCTCGGACCGGCAGACGGACGTAACCCGCTTCCAGAGCGACGAGCGCTGCCTCGCCCTGCGGCTCTGCGGATGGATCAGCCGCGGTTCGGACATCGACGTGGAAACCTTCCTGCGGTCTCTGGAGCAGGAACGCGAGTGGGAGCGAGCGGCGGCCATCGCTCTCTTCAACCTGGATATCCGCCGCGCCATCCAGATCCTCAGCAAGGGAGCCATCGCCGAAAAAGGTGAGGATGAATCCTCAGGGCTAGAACATTTCTGTATCACAGAATAAACTGTCTGCGTCCTCCAGAGGAAATATAACTCCAAATAAAGTCGTAAAATTTCCTGTAATGATATAAATCCTGCTTGTAAAGACCTTGAATGTTAAATTTAGACTGAAAATGAAAATATAAGCTGGATGTCATTAACATTCCTCATCTCCGATACTCAAATATATTTCCATTTTAAGCCAGCAGGTGGCGGCAAACTCAACTTAAACATGTAAAGTGCAAGAAGCACTTTGGTAAAGAGTTTCCCTCACAGCTGATGTTTTCAGCTTTTAACTTATATCTCACGACAACATGCTTTATTAATTATATTACTTAACGACTGAAATAAAGCCATGTTTTCATTTTCATGTGCCTGTTTGATATACTGTATTAAAGTACCAACAAATAAATTATATTAAATAGACAAACTGGTTATAAACTAACTTTAAAATATCATCCAAGTGGATAAAATGCAGATAAGGTACCAAAGGAACGACACAACAAATATGGGATATTAATTGAATATGCTTGCAGTTGAATTACACTTTGTTACCAAAAGTAAAGTCACTTAACTTTATACACTTTAATATCCTATTTTCAATGCAAAAGCCTTAATATGGTATCCAGGAAATCTGTCTATGAGGTTTAGGATTTTATTTATGGAAATATTTTACTGCTTTTCTTCTTGCTCTATTCATTAAACTCTCTATTTTGTGTTTAATGTGCTTTGTAATGGATTTATTGCTTGTATTGAAGAGATTCTCCCCAAAATCTGAGCTAGGGCAACAAATCAGCCAGTGTTTCCAAATGTGTTATGAATACAGGCTGTAAATTAAGTAAAAAACTAATTTAACTTAACGTACAGCCTTTATTTATATTTAAATAAAGTAAAATAAAGTTTATAAGGAGAATAAAGCAGAATGTGACGGCCGGAGTCATGTTTTCACAGCACACAGTGGTGTTTACACACTTGTGACGAGGAAAAACTTCACTAATGTAGGTCAAGAATCTTCTCCTGCTTCCTGTTCTGTGGATAAGGTGCGTCAACAGAGCCGCTGCTTTATTTCCTACTGAATGTGTTGATTCCTCTGCACACACTTACACTAGAGAAAATATGTTTAACCTGACAAACTTGTGTAATAACTCGTTGACAGCAACATCATGCAATCTGCAGATTAGCAATGTTTTTTTTTATCTATGTTTAGTTGGGATGGGATTAATGGTGATCAGATAATCCTCAACTAATTTAATTAATCACTAACTAGAGTATACATATTTTTATTTCCTGAATAAATATGACATTCAGAGCAGTGATTAAACCAAATCTGTTCAAAATATGTAAATATTCTTGGATAACTTTACACCAAGCAGGACGTAGTTATACTGCCACCTGCAGGTGGGAGGTAGCATCACACAACCCCAATGGTTTTGACTATTTTTGCTGAAGAATTGCAATAAACTCACATTTCTGCATTATACACTGTATTATTCTGTTTTGGTTTTATCTCCTTGTAATTGTTCAGCACTTTGTTTGAAAACACTTTATAATTAACATTATTATTACTATTACTAGGATACAAAGTGTGGGAATTTGTTGATTATTGCATGAATTTTGGCGATTGTGGAATCCCAAAAAGCTGGAGGGACTAGATGATGCAATATGGCAGTATAGAGATAAAAACTGGTTTGATTTGACTCATAAAATTATATTTAAAAGCTCTAGAGTCCAGAGGGCCACATATAAAGCTGTGCGGCCGGATTTGGACCCCGGGCCTCGAGTTTGACCCCTGTTCTAGACAAGCAATCTGAAGTACAAATAAAGGTTTATATCAGTTGTTTCCAGACGTTTTTCTCCTTAACAGCAGGCCATGAACGACTCCATATCAACAGTTTTGTGTTACTTACAGGCGACCTGAACCTGAACGTTGTAGCCATGGCGCTGTCGGGCTACACCGACGAGAAGTCGTCCCTGTGGAGGGAGATGTGCAGCTCTCTGCGGCTGCAGCTGAAGAATCCCTACCTCTGTGTCATGTTCGCCTTCCTCACCAGTGAGCCTGGAGCCTACGACGGCGTGCTGGTAAATAATCTGCGCCATCGACTGTTGGTGAGCCAGTTAGTCGATGCAGAAAAGCCGAGACAGTGGCTCTTTTGTTCTGACTCCGTAAAGAGGTTTATTTATACTTGGTAGTAAATTGGCTGGTATTACTTCAGTGGTTTTATGTGGAAAAAATTCAGGTGCACAGGAAGAGACTTGCTTTCCATTTCCACTGTTGGCTTTATAAGTCATAAAACTGTTGTGTAAAGGAAAAACTGCAGCCCAGGCCAGAATCCATGTTCGTTTTCCCTTTCAGCTGAATTTTCTCTCAAACTGTTTCTTGGTAAAAACGCGTAATGAGATAAGATGATCCAGTGAGTCATTTCCAAGCCGGGCTGGTTGGATTTTTATAGAAAGGAGGAGTTGCTGTGGGTGAAATGTTTCCAGATCAGGCTGTCCCTGCAATGTCAAAGTTTAAAACACAACCACGAGTTCCCACGCAGTCTTAAAAATAACACATATTTTCTTTTTCTGGCCTGATAAAATGAGAAGGAATGCAAAAAAATTCTACTGAATGATTTTATTTCTTAGATTTATTATCAAATTTATTCCAAGTAAAAAAAATGACAGTATTAAGGAGCCAAAATTTTATTTAAAAACACTGAAATATTGTTAATTTTTTTCTCTTTTACCTGCACAATACAATAAAACAAACATAGAATATTTTACATTTGCCTAAATGTTTAATCATTCACCTTTTTGTGCTTATTGTTTTCATTTTTTAAGTCTGTGAGATGTTTATTCCCAGCAATAAAAATAATAATTTTCCTCCATGACCTCTGTTGTATTTAGCTAAATGTAAGTTTTTAATTATTATGAATTTTATTAATTTATTTTTTACTCAAAAATAATTAGAAAGGTTTTTTTTGAGTAAAATCTTCCTTAACATTAGTGACATTAAAATTGTTACACTTTAATCAAATCTGGTAAATGCTCCACCTTTTTGATTGGTTGAAATAATTATTAAAATACTTAATTTATTTCTGTTTATTTTCAAATAATCAGTTAGTGTTAACTGTTCTTGAAAAAGATTAAAGAACAGTTTAAAAAGAAGCTTATTTTGGCATTTTAAAATGCAACTAGTTCATAGAAATAACACAATTAGCCAAAATATATTTTGCTTTCAATATAAAGTTTATGAAACTTTAACAAAAACTGCAGGTTTGTGTCTGTGTCTGGGGGATTTTTTTGTTTTTCCTTCAGTTGCTGGAGAACCCATAAATTTTACTTAAGTGTAGAAATAAAAAGTACAGCGTAGTAAAAATAATTTTAAAATAAGTTTCTGTTTCAGTATGAGAGCAACGTTGCCGTCCGGGACAGAGTCGCCTTCGCCTGCATGTTTCTCAGCGATGCTCAGGTAATCGGAGCGAAGCTTCCTGCAGCACATCGAGCATCACACGAAATGAAGCAGCTTCATCTGAGTCTGCTGCCATTTTCCCTGCAGCTGCCTCGTTACATCGACAAACTGACCACTGAGATGAAGGAGGCAGGAAACCTGGAGGGAATCCTGCTGACCGGACTCACCAAAGATGGCGTCGATCTGATGGAGAGCTATGTGGACCGGACCGGGGACGTCCAGACGGCCAGCTTCTGCATGCTAAAGGTACTCTGAGGAACACTAGCATTTTCTCTTCCTTATGTTTCTTTTGCCAACTTACGTAGCTACTACAGAACGCGATAAAGTTTCACTTGATTAATCATCAGAATATCCACTAGATTATTTGATTACTAAAATAGTCATTTATAATAGCCCTAGCTTAGCTGATATGTAGTTAGTAGCTTCCAACTAAATGCCAGTGAACCATAAAATTTTCTTTAGAAAGTTTGAGCATCTTGCAAAGTAATTACTTACAATAAGAGGAAAAAAACTAAATTTTGTGTACCAAACCTGCAAATCTACTTATTCCAATAAAGTTCCATTAAAAATGAAAGTGTTATTTCATTGTTACTGTAGTTTTCTTGTTCTGACATGCCACCAACAGCCACACCCTGACAGGGCAACATGTTGTGAGCATGAGGCTGTCTTTTGCTCTGCCAGCTGCTCTGAAATGAAAAGGTCAGAGGGCGTTTTCACACCTGATCTCTGCTGTCAGGGTTCCCCTGGCGACGTGTTGAAAGACCCTCGGGTCCAGTGCTGGATCGAAAACTACCGCAACCTGCTGGACGCATGGAGGTTCTGGCACAAACGGGCCGAGTTTGACATCCTCAGAGGCAAACTGGACCCCAGCTCCAAACCGCTAGCTCAGGTAACGACATTCATTTCTGCTGCAGAGGCTTTAATCCCAACAAAATGTAAACCCAGGCAGCCGGTGAGCAAGAAGCTGTTGGTTCTGTACTCATTATGCCAGTCCTACGCAAGGTTACAACTATCGATTCATTTAATAATCACTTCTTCTGTCGATTAATCAGATAAAAAAATTACCACATTCTGCAGATTTTTCATTTAACCACTGAAGCAACTTTAATAAAATATGACTACACATTAAAAATAAATATTTTATTGCCTAAAATGCAAGAACATGGCTTCCCTTTTGTAAATATTTGACCATTTATAGAAAATGATGCAATTAAACAACTTAAAAAGTACTTCTAACGTCAACATGTGAAAAGCTCAGACATTTCTGCTTATCAGTGCAGTGTGCGGCTGATCTGGGGATTAATTTTTGGATTAATAACTGGATATCAAAAGATCAATAAGAGGTTGTTTTTAAGAACTTGAACCAGGTTTCTGTCATTTGGATCCCCATTAGTTGCAATTCCAAAACTACAAAAAACACACAACATACATGGGTCACATGAATTCAAAAAATAAAATAGCTGCAAAAATAAAAGCACAGGGTAGAACATATATTTTTTGGTATATTTTTGGCCTAATTTCTGCTTTTAGTATATTGTTCTTTCAGCAAATGACCTTTTTGAAGTCCGTGTACTCCAGTTAACAATTAATCAATTACTAAATTAATTGACTTCTAGAAAACTTCAAAACAGCTGAAACACTGAGTTCCTATGGCAACCTATTCCAGGTTGCCTTTCATTAGTAGTAAGTAAAGTGTAAATGATTAATCGATTATTGAAGTCATTGTCAACTATTTGATCAATCAATTAATCGTTAACTCAAGTATACAGTCTCAATAAAGGTCATTTGGTGGAAAAAACCAACAAATTCAGAGCAGGAATTAAGTTAAAACTTGTTTTTCTTTTTGTACCTTCATTGAAGGTAAAACATATTTGTTTGTAAATATGTTTTAGCCAAAATGTGTTAATCTGAAATTCTGGTTCAGATTAACTAAGAAATACTAAGGGATTTAATTTTAGTCAATTCAAAGATTATTTTCTTATTAAAAAATTACTAGAACTATTTGCTTATCTTAATGTATTTCTAATATAGTATCTGCGTTTTGCTCTCTGCAGGTGTTCGTGAGCTGTAATTTCTGCGGGAAGTCCATCTCCTACAGCTGCTCTGCGATACCTCATCAGGGCCGCGGCTTCAGCCAGTACGGGGTCAGCGGGTCGCCCACCAAGTCAAAGGTCACCAGCTGTCCTGGCTGCAGGAAGCCTCTGCCGCGCTGCGCACTCTGCCTCATGAACATGGGCACACCTGTTTCCAGTTGCTCAGGTAGGATCGACCGAACGTGGAGCTGAAGCTGCTGTAATGCTTGACTTAAGGAGGAATGACTGGACTTTGGTTGCCGTTTAAAACCCGGTAGCACCTGGACCTTTACTGCTGTGACGTCACTCCTGACAGCGTTGATAGTCGGATTTAAATGTTGCATCTTTTGGATTCAGGAACTGGAAAGTCGGATGAGAAAATGGACTTAACGAGGGAGAACAAACTCGCCCAGTTCAGCAACTGGTTCACCTGGTGTCACAACTGTCGACATGGTGGCCACGCCGGTCACATGCTGAGCTGGTTCAGGTGGGAGACATTTTTGGAATTATTTTCATGTTTTTGAAATGAAAGGTAACCTGATCGTCTGACCTCTTCCAAACAAACTGATTCAAGTTGAGAGACGACTTAAAGTACAAATTTCTGTCATATAGTGTAATATATGTGTTTCTAATATTGTTTATTGGTTTAAATTGGTTTTAATTTTTTAAAAATTTGATTAACCGTCAGAACAATCGATTGATAGATTGTAACTGAAGACTGGTTCTCAGGAGTTCAGTTGCTTAGAATCATTATCATTTCCCGTAACTTGTGACGTATTGATCACACTACGTCTTCTGCTTTAGAGAACATCCAAGATGGCGTCGCGGCGGAAACGCTAGAAAATATGTATGTGACAAAAAGGAAGATGCTTGTCGGGCCGGTTGCTCAAAACTTTAATCACGATTAAAGGATCGCGGCGTCTCCTGCTATGACAGGAGGATTTTATTGTTTTAATGTTGTTAGAATCGAACAGAGAAAAAGAAAACTTGATGCATATGTTGAATTAAAGAGTTTGTTTCCTAACTCAATGAGGAATTGAGTCTATAAGCGAGATCGATAATGCAGTCGTATCAAATTCAATTCAAATTCAAAGATACTTTATTGATCCCAAAGAGAAATTAAGTACAGTCAATAAATTCTTATCAGTTCCGAACACATTAGAGTTAAATGTGAATGAAAACGTGTCTATCTTGCTCCACAGAGACCACACAGAGTGCCCGGTGTCGGCCTGCGCCTGCAAATGCATGCAGCTGGACACCACAGGGAACCTGGTGCCGGTAGACGGCAGCTAAACGGGACAGGCGTGTCGGAAACCGAAGCTAAACACGAACCGGGAGCCAACTGGTGCAGACCGGCTGCTGCACCGGCACACCAGCAGGCGACGGCGACGACCCGCTCTGCAGTGGCTGCTTGGATGGAGAGTTACACTGCAAAAACACAAAATCTTACCAAGTGGTTTTGTCTGGTTTCTTTTGCAAATATCCTAGTATGTTTGAAATAAAACCAAACTAACAAGTAACCTTGTTAGTTACTTGTTAGTAACTAACAAGTAACTCGCAGCTCAGCAAGAAATAGCAGCTCGTTTAAGTCAATAATTGCCTAAATCTTAGAATCTGACAATAGAACTAAAACTTTTTCAAAAATATTAAGGAATTATTGACTTAAGAGCGCCTGTTTTTTGCTAAAAGTTACTTATGAATTAGTTTTGTCTTCTTTCAAATCTACTAAGATATTTGCTCTAGAGACTAAACACAAATATGAACATGTTTGTTTTTCGGAGTGATGCTTGTAAGCATTAGTCTAGGGAATGTTGCATCACACCAGAAGTCTATATGAAGAAGGGAATCAAAGTGTGGGTAATGATTTGACTAACCATGTTAAAGTGAGAAAGGGAGCAAATACTAATTTATTGCTCTACTAATAAAAATCACTCAGGAGAATCACGAGAGGCTGTGCTGCTTCCAGCCTCTTCCAGTCTAACCTGAATCAGGATGTTGTTGTTTTTAGCTATACAGTCAGATATCAGGTCGTGCCATTATTCCTAAAGTGAGCTTTGTTGTGTTTCAGTCCGTATTTATCGTCTGCTGGAGAGAAAAAATAAATCTTCACATACCTCATAAATGTTTTGTTCGGGGAGCGATTACAATAACAACACACAGCAAAAACATCAAATCTTACCAAGTAGTTTTATTCTAGTTTTTAGTGCAAATATCTTAGCACACTTGAAATAAGACAAGTATTTTTTACAGAAATGCATGTGAGCTTGTTTTAAGTCAATAATTCTTTAGTATTGATGAAATAGTTCTAGCTAAACTTGCAAGTTTTACATATAACAAGGGAAAATGATTAGTGAAATAATCTTCCAGTGGAACTAGCACTTTTTAAAAATTAAAGGAATTATTTACTTGAAAGAAGCTCCTATTTATCACTGAACAGTTACTTGTACTAAGATATTTGCATGTGTGTCAAACTCGAGGCGCGCGGGCCAAATCTGCCCCACCATAACTATCTTTGTGGCCCACTGGGCCCTATTGTAGGTCACGTAATATTATTTTATTAGTCAATTTAAATCAGTTTTTATCTGTGTATTGCCAAAAAATAATTTAATATTTAATTTGAAGAAGTTCCCAAATGCAGAGAAAGCTATTTGTTTATTTCTTTCTTTTTTTTTTTTTTTTTTACATAACAGGTTGTGGCAGTCGATATTGGCTCTGATTGGTTGTTTTTGGTTGGGAGTGGTGCATTTCTTCAGATGGTAGCGGCACAAACGGCCCTTTAAATTCACACTATGTAACTTTTATAAAAAATATATTTTTACATTTATGTTGAAACTGTCACTATGTTGTTTGTCATGAGACATCTAATCTGTGAAAGCATTGAGCTCCTTTCACTTCTCACATAAAGAGAAGCAATCAGCCAGGAGGTGGGTCTTAGCGCTGTCCATCACCCTCTGTATGGTGCTGCTCATCCTCCCATTGCTCTCTGCCTGTTGTGAATGCTAAGGCTAGCTAGCATGGATGATGACAGGTTAATGGTTTTCCTGTTTTGGCTAGTTTCTTTCTATGCCATTAGCACATTTAGCAGCGAGTACATGTGTGTGATTGACAGCGCCAAGTCCCTCCTCCTGGCTCTGATTGGTTGTTTTCTAACAGGAGTGTTGCATTTCTTCAGATGATGATATTAGCTCAAGGATAAGGCGCAGGAGCTTCATGTTTTCACAGATTATCCGTCTCATAACAAAGTCTGACAGCATGGCTTAATATGTGCAAAGACATATTGTTTTATTAAAGTTACATGCTTTAATGCCCTAAAAGAGATCCTTGATCTTGATGAGTTTGACATCTCTGCATTAGAAACTGGACTTGATAAGCGTTGGTGTTTTTCCAGTGATGCTCTCCAGTGTGAAAGGTTTGCTGTGGAGGGAGGGCCGGGGGGCGGATTAGAGACGTTGTGGAGGAAGAGGAGTGTGGGAGGGTGCATCTGCATTCACCAGCCTCCTCCAGGCCTGTGGTCTGTGAAAGAAGCTCCCCAGAAAACGGCAGCTGCTCGGCACCCTGACAAGACCCTCCAGATTGTTCCCCTCATAAAGAAGCTCAGCTGCCGGAACACTATTGACTCAAAGAGAAAACGAGAGAACAGCGACTCCCCTCCCTCCTACAACCTCCACATCAACACACTGCCCTGCTCTTTCTTTTCTCCCCTCGCTGATGCCCAAATTGCACCCAAAATCTATGCATACCACATGAATCCAGGGATGGCCGCCATCTGTGGGGTAGCCGTCATCTGTCAATGGCGTTCGTGTCTTTCTTTGCGCGGCCTGATTGTAAATTGGGCGGCCTTCCCCATAGCTGGCTAAATCACTTAGTCATGGAGGAGTTCACCGAGGTTCTAAAGGCCTGCGTTCCCCTTTGTGGGCCATCTTGGGTCGGGGCGGACAAATTGGTGAGCCCTGGCAAACAGAGCGGCTGGAATTTCATCCTTTTCACCCGTTTTTTGTGTTTTTGCCTATTAAATAAATCTCAGTTGACAAATCAAAGTGCTGTTGAATTTTCCATACGTTTGCATAATTTGTTATATGTTAACTTTTATAGATGCAGATGTTGTGGTTTTGTGCTGAGTGAATCTTTTCTTCATGTGGGAACGTCAACAGAATTTTAAATTTTCACCTCACAGGACATAAACTGGAAATTCAATATATTTTGGACACTGGAACTTTACTTTCAAAATCCAACCAACAGGCTGACACAAAAACAGTGCCTTTTTATAGTCCCCTATAAAAAAGTTTTATAGGGGACTTATTATGCAAAATTTACTTTTTAAACATTTTTATGCTTTCACTTGGGTCATAACTACTTCTAAAATCAGTCTAAGCACTTAAAAAAACACCTTGCCGTTTTTTTGGCAGTATGTTTTTTCTTTCCTTTTTTTGGTGTCTGCTGTTGATTTTTAAATCACATTCGACGGCCACTGCGCCATTACCTAGCAACCCAAGCTGAGTTCCAGCATGTTTGGTCAGCTGGTTTTACTGCTGTATATGCTGTACAATGGCTGCTGGAAAAGACAAGTGCTTTGTTGTTTACATACCACCCAGAAACCACTTGCTACACCTTTCTTGATTGTGCAGGAGGCTCCACTTCTGCTTTTCAAAGACGTAAGATTGTATAATTGCGCAACTGTTGCAGGTATTTTCATGGATGAGTGTAAATTTTGAGTTGGGGGGCCACGGCCCGAAGCAGATTATTTGGATTTAAAGTGACAGAATAAAATCTCATAATTTAAAATTGATTTCGTGGAAAAAAAAAAAATTATGAAAATGTTTTGTACAGGCCACAGAAATAGTAACTTTTTGTTTTCAGATTCCTTGTAATCTTTCACATTGGTAATCAATAAATCTCCAGGAGTTTGTCGTACATTTTCTGTTCAGTCATGGTACCATAAAGTACAAAAACTTCATGCAATTTGAGCTTCAAAAACAGAATGAGGACAAAGTTTCTATCCAATTTTTAATAAATCCAACAGATCAGCTCTACATCATATAGATCTTAATTTAAGCAGAAAGAGATGAGCTTTTGTTGGTGTTAAAAGTAATTTTTTTTTAGCTGCAGATGCATCTTTTACTATTAGAAATGCTATATTACATTTTAGCAGTAAAATGTTCCATTATTTAATTAAAAATGTAATTATATGGTTATTTGCTTATTTTATTGTATTTCTTATATTGTACCAAATACTTTTAAGTGGTTAAATGCAGTGGAATTTGCAGAATAAAATCAGATTAATCGATTAATAAAATAATTATCAGTCCTAAAATACACTGAGGTTTGTGGTGCTTTGTGTGTCTAGAAGTCCATCCTTTGAGTTATGAAAGATTCAAGCAAACTAATTGCAGCTGACATGTCATTTAAAGCATAGTGCAGCTTTTCTGTGTGAATATGTTGGCATATTGTCGTGGAACAGTCCAGTGTGCCGTCTCAGAGGCTCAGGCTGGAACCGTGTCCTGCCCTCGGAAAGCAGCCAATACCCAACTGTCTAACCACATTCATCGGCTGAACATGTTAAGGCATAAAAGGAATTTGACTCAAGTTTCTTGAAGCTCTCAGAGCATTTCTATGGAGAATAAGGAGCAGTTAAAAACACACCGAAATAACTCAACATTGGATCTTGAATGTATGCAGTTATGTCAAATTAATGCATATAAATAATGAGATGGACAGTTTAATCAGTTTTATTCTACTGGTTAGTTTATAAGAAAACGTTTCAGAAACATAATGGGAAAATAGTTTATTGAATGAAATTATTGTAATGAATGAAAGCTCCAGAACAGCAACAGCTTTTAACTTCATTTAAGCTTTTTATGAAAACTTAAAACACTTCTGAATAAAGTTTAAAAAGGATTAAAAACTTTACACATTTTATTGGATTTTATTTTCTTAAAATAAAAACCCTGAAAAATGTGTAACATCATGTAGTTTTGATTGGTTGAAAGTAACCCAATCACTGATCTTACTGTACACGGCGACTGACCAATCAGAACCCAAGGGACTCGTAGCGAAGGCCCGCCCACTTTCGCCAGCCAGTAGTCGGGCTGAAAAACTGTCAAGTGAGTGAACAGGATGGGGACGGCTTGAGAGCAGCAAAAACACGTAAAAAATGTAACGAGAAGTTGTAAAACAACTTTAAAAGTTATCCCTGCCATGTTCGGAGTTTATCACAGCACATGTTAGTACCCTACAGGTAAGTTTGCTTCAGAATAAGTCATGTCGGATCGTTTTTTACCCTCCTAAAAAGCAGGAGTTGAGAAGTTTTAAAGGAAGCTAATGTTTTTCGCTAGCAGGCTGGTGTTTATCTCAGTAGTCCTCCAACCTTCTCCTCCTCTTCTAGAGAAGCAGCAGCCTTGGGCAGTGCGTGTTTCCCCCCCTGCGATAAGAGTAAGCGGCCAGTTTCGGAGGATGTCAGCGCCCAGTAACTCCCTCCAGCAGCCGAGGGTGAGGCGCAGCAATGCGGGCTCCCCGGGCTCGTTCACCCAGAGCGGCAGCAGCTGCAGCCGCTTGCACCCCATCCGCGCCACCGTGCCTTACCAGCTCCTGCGTGGGGGTCCGAGCAGCCCCACACGGCCGCAAACCCTGCACGGAGGAGCAGCAACCAGCCGGGTCTCGAGCAGCAGTCCCCCCTCCAGTCCTCCGCTCACTGCAGGAAGTACAAAGCAAAGAGTGTCACCCGAAAATAAGGAGGCTTCTTGTCCCCCAGACTCTCCAGGGTCAAAAGGTAAAACCAAAAGAAGGTTTTATATACTTCACTACACACATAAATGATATATCGCCACGTGTGGTCGCCTAAGAGTTTGTCATTGTGCTTTCTGTTGTTACTGTTATGTAATTAAGAGTGGAAAGTGAGCATGTGTGTCAACATTTCAGGGTTGGATTTAGGAGCATGTGGGCCCCTGGGCTAGAGTCAGTCCTACAGGCCTACGCACACACACTTTCTTTCAGGAATGCAGATTGCACTATTGTTGATTATTAGGTACACATCGGTGTTTGGGACTGGTTGCAATGCAGTGCTCTACTGCTCTATTGAAGATTGGAGGAAAATATTCCCTTGATGTCACTTTTTAAAAATTAATTTGGTTAAGGTAGCACATCGCCACTATATAAAGAGTCAAGACAGTGGGGAAAAACCAAAAAAAGTTTGTGGAGAGTAGAGAAACTCAGTGTCTATAAAGATAATAACATCACAAAGAACCGCCATCTTTGTAGTCAAGCACAGTGCAAGTGTAGCTGAACCACGGCTTCAAGACCAACAAAAAGAAAATGCACTTAATAGTGTCTAAGAAAAACATATATCAACAAAATCGCTGCATGAGACAGAGAAACATGTCATGGAAACATGACAGATGATGTGGAGAAGCTGCCTCCGGTTTACTGTGACATAGTTAACGACCTAGTGAGGAGCTCCTACACCATGGATGCCAACAATCAATGTTTAAACAGATTTGTAAAAGACGTGCAAACTCTTCAGGTAAATAACAAGATTCTGGTTACTGGCAGAGAAACTACATGTAACATGCATGTAGGCTACATGTCCGTCTTAGCTAGCAGCTAAAAGCTACATTAGCTAAGATAATTTGGCTAGTTTCGTAGTACAGTAAATATCACTATTTATCTTGGTGCTACACAAAAATTTGTAGAGTGTTCAAAAATTGGAATCGAGTAATCGATGAGCTAGCTCTGAGCTTATAGCTAGTTTATTGTTGTCATAGCAACTGTCATGGAGGTTACACATACCTACCAACATGGCTGTCAGCTACATACTTTCCGGAAATGTGGCGTCACATGAGAACTGTGTACATTGTCCGCTTAAAACTTATTTTAGTGACATAGTTTGGACTCCATCCAGCAGAGGGCGCCGCTGGTCATCCTCAGGCAAAGCCGGTGATACAGAAACAAAGATGGCGGCAATACCAGAACTGGAAAGAGAAATATTCCAAACGCAGTCCAGTGTGGGATGGAATATTTTGCAGTTCTGTTTTGAAATATAAACACTCGAGAAACTCCTTAAGTTTCACTTGAGGAGCATCATGAGGAATTTAACTCTTTATGTTTAGGAAAGACGGTCGGCCATCTTCATACAAGAGAAAGCAGAAATTTGTAAGAATGTGGCTGCTTATTAATTAATAATTAGTAAATTAATAAAAGGAAACAACTTTATATGAACTCATTAATCGATAACTTGCGCTCCTATTCAAAATGTTATAACAAACTACAACTCCCACATCTAGCCTAGTAGCTAAAACATTGACCAATGTCCTAGAGGTTTTTCAGACAAAAACATATTCGTCCACTCAAAGAAAACTTCTGATGATAATAACATTGTTGCATCACTTTTGTGATTATCTGTATGCTGAAAATACGACTCACAATGTCACAGTAAAGTTGCTGATTCTTAATTGAAAGCTTGCTATTATTGTCTATGGAAACATACATTGTAAAAGTTGGTGTTTACAAAGTGTTAACTCATTAAAAATTTAGATTTTGTGCACAGGACTTTGCTAATAATTTTGTAACATGTGGAAACATCATCTAAAAGCCTGGAAAAAGCATTTTTTCCACGCACAGCTCTGCATTCATGATGTGGTTAGAAGAAGTTCTGTAAATCCATTTCTGGGAGGAAGAAGAGAAAGGACCTCGTGGCAGAGAGACATGCTGCCACTTGCAATCTGTCCAGTTCATTCCCTGCAGAAACACGGCTGAGGGAATGTTAGCTAATGACTGGTATCACTGGAAAGGGCAGAAACAGAACTCCCCAGTTTGTTCTGCAGGATATTAGAAAATCATGTGTTTGCAATTCTATTGTGTGTCATTAATAGGGTACAAACAGGGTTCCCACATGGTCTGGAATACGAGTTAGGGATTATTACCATAATTATAGTCTGGAAAAATGTGGAAAATTAGAATATACAAAGATATTTTTATTTCCAGACTTCGTTCCTTTCATTTATCTATTTGATTATCTGTTCTTCATGTGCCTGTCAAACTTTTTTTGTTCTTTTAGTTGTTTTTGCAGATTTCGTACTAATATCTGGTACAAAATCAGCATCTGGCCTTACCAACCACAATGACTATTTGAGAATATTTGGATATGAGTTAAGACAGCATTTATTTTTTCTTTGGGATGTATAAAGTGTTTTTGAATCAAATCAGCTGATAGTTTTACCTACACTGGTTCTACACTTTTCTCAGTGCAGGTCTCTGTGGTGTATCTGCTTGTGAAGTGCTTTGCATTCTTTGTTTCTTTGAACGGGATGACCTCCAGCCTTGATGGCCAGCCTGCCATGCAGCACAGGAAGCAGAGTCCCTTCAATAACAACTCTGAAGTCACATTTGCCAGGCAAGATGAATATGAGCTAGCCATGTTCGGCTAGCGCTTGGTGTTGATTTCCTACTCTAGCTGCATGCCGCACATTCCTCAATCCTTCAAAAGAGATGACCTCTAACCCCAGCTGGTTGTTCATGTCGGTTGTGATGGAGGAGGATAGGTTTTCCTAAATGAATGTGAACTCCAGACACTCAAAAGGCCAATCAGCACAGATGTTATGGCTATTTTTTGCACTGCATTCAGAGGATTAGGAAGGTCCTGCTTTCTAGATGCATCGACGGTTTCATGTTAACTTGTTGTGACCTTTTAGGTTCACCAGCATGACGTGATTTCACCACACTGTTTACTGCTCACAGTCAAAATGTTGCTTCTGCTAAAACAGCTCAACTTAAACCTTTAAATTCACAGATATCCAATTCTGTGGAACTAAGCTATCGAAGTTAGTTTTTATTTCTGTTCTAATAATATTTTTATAAAAGATTTAATTTGTTAGTGTAAATATTGTCTTTACCAAACAAAATGTTTGCTGGTTATACACAATATCATTTTCATATTGGGACTGTTGCAATAAGCAATAAATCAGTTTATTACATAATAAAATAAAATAATTTCAGTAATTTCCATTAGCATGATTTAGCAGTTTTCTCTTTCTACCAAAAACTGGATGATGAAATTCTTCAGTCTGGTGTTTTGGTCCCAATTTGCCAGTTTCTGAAGGTCAATTTGGTTCATAATTCAATTTATTTGTTGTTTCTGTTTTGTATATTTGTTTTAATATTTAAAATGTCTTCCAGCTCCAGTGTTAAATGTCTGTTGGAGTGTAACGCTTATTGATTCTTGCATTATTATGCCATGACCATCATGTTACTGGAAAGTGGTCTCAAAGCATCAGTGCCATCGTTTATTGCAATAACTGTTGGAGCAATTTATTGTCCAGCAAAATTAGTTTTTGTGACATTCCTACTTAAAATTAATGTTCACATTTGTAGGATTTGTCTTCGAAGGAACTACTGTATCAGAAAATGCATCGCAAGGTGTTTGCATCCTTTAAAAAGTACGGCCTTAAAACGTCCTTACATTTGTTTAAGAAATGCAAGTTGGCCTTAAATATGTTTATCAGGTCTTAAATTTTGTTGCTTACTTTCCTACATTCTGTGTAGTTTAATTTTCTTGCTGAATCTTTTCTGTCAGGTGAACGATTGTGTTGCACACAGACATTTTTATGCTGTTCTGTAACTTGGAAGTGATTGTGGCTACTGCTAATTGGTCTGTCATGCACCCTTGCTAGCCAGTTAGCTAAATATTTTTGTATCTAACAATGTCATGTAAAATTTATTGCCAGTTGGCGGTACAACAATCATCTGTTGCCAACAAAGTCGATGACGATCTGTAATTTTTCTTCTTGGACTCCAGGAATGAAATGAATTATTGAATTATGTGCTTCAAACAATGGAGTGGCAAAGTTTTTACTTTTATTATGTAAAATAGAAATACAGCTGTGGCTTCACTGATGCTAGTTTGGGGAAACTGGCATTATCTGTGAAAGAAACAATGATGTAAAAATATTAAGAAAAATAAGTTAAAAAAAATAAAAAAGGATTTTTTAGTGCTAGTTTGAATGAGAAAGGATACCTTAAATAACTGCATGTCAGTTTATTTTAAGAATTATGGAGATAAACGGTCATAAAACACTGGAAGTTTGACTTGCACTGCATATGTTGTTTAAAAACTTTGTATAACCAACTGCACCATTTTGTAAGTGGAAATTTTGGGCACAAAGTTTTAAAAAGCTTCAGTATAATGTTAGCATATGCTACATCATTTCATGGTATAAAAAGTTTGAAAAGCACTGGATAAATATGATCAAACTTTGGTGTCATAATGAATTCTGGGAAATGCCTCGGGTTCTGTTTGTGACCCCAGGTGAAGCGTGAATCTAAATGCCGACTGATTTTTGTTTAGTGATCCTCAGATCGAGCGAAGTTCTGGGAATTGTTTTCAGTTGTTGTCAGGATGAATCCTTGTGAAAACCCACAGGAAACTGCTGACCACATGTTTGTTTTTACATTTTCTTCTGCCTCTCAGTTAATAAAGCCAAACACCTAAAACCCTGGAAATGTCCTGTTCACGTTAAAATCCAACATGAAACTTTTCCTTCAAAGCCACTTTCTTACTACTGGAATCAGCAGATGGACTTCTTTGATGTCTCGACTTCTTTCACTGTTTCCTTTTTTCTCTCATAAGGAGATTATTGTAGTCTGGTGAATGGGAAGGAGGGAGTTAGTGGGGGAATGGAAAATAACCACAATCCCAGTTCAGGGAGCGATGGCTTCGCTTATATCAATATTGATGGAAAATCAGCCTGGTTCCCTTGTCTGCAATGCTTCAGGGAATTTTACTGTAGCCCAGTAAGCTTACTTAGGCAATACCTTTGGGTGGGTAGCCTTGTGTGTTTTATGAACAAAGAACAACAATGACTGGCTGTGCAGCTCCACGAGGGAAGGGGCGCCTCATGTAGATGGTTTAGTCTGTGTGTGTTTTGTGTATGTGTGAAAGGCCTTTGCCTTGGCTCCTCTGGCAAGAAGTAAAACAAATGCACACATCTCCCACCTATGATTCTGCCCTTCAGCATTTGACGTCAAAACGAAGCAGCTTAATTGCAGTAATTACACACCTGAATGGTTTCATTTAGGTCAGCGAACACGTTTCACTGCAGCCTCAGATAGTCTAGTGGTTATTTTGGATTTGCATGTTTTGTTGTGTCCTGTTTGGTCTTCCATTGCGTGTCTCTGCAGGATTGTTGTGTGGATGCAGGCAGTTTTGATGTGTGGTGGCTTATGAGCTCTTTATGTGGGTGGTGTGTGTTTAACTGCTCCAGGTCACAGCAGATTGCTCCCATAACACCAGATACTCCTGCTCACCCTTTGGCTTCTTCCTTTCTTCCTTTCTTTCTTTGTTTTTTGTTTGTTTCTTTCTCTCTTTCTTTCTGTCCTTCTGTCTGTCTCTCTTTCTTTCTCTCTTCCTTCATTTTTGGAAGGGTGTTAATGTAATTTATTTTGTGTTGAATTTTCTGTTACATAATTTGTGATACTATGTCGATTATTTATTGAAAATAAATTCTTAAAATCTCTCTCACTCTCTCATGTGGTTGATCATCTTTGAGGGTCGAACTCCTAAATTCCTAAAAACACGAGGAACTGAAATAACGTCACTCACGCAAGAACCAACTGAGAACTTGTGAAGTTTTTTTGTGTTGCGTTTAGATGGTGTGTTAAAGCAAATGTTTCCTGTCCTGCTTCACAGCGGAAAGATCCAAACTGCAGGTGCGGAGCTCCAGTGCCATTCGGAGAGCGTCTTCCTTGGACGCCATCACCGGACCTTACCTCACTGGCCAGTGGCCTCGGGACTCCGGCCACGCGCCGTACCCTTCCTGTATGAAAGACAAAGCCACGCAGGTACACACCACTCAAACCACAGCAGAGTCCAGCTCAAACCGGCTGTTTACTGGAACTACCACACACCTTTCAGCTGGAATCACCAACATTATTTAGATAATAGAAGGATTTTTATAACTTTCTACATTTTCATTCAATTCCTTCACTGCAAAAACACAAAAGTGTAAATGTCTTAACACATTTGAAATAAGACAAGCTAAATTAAAAGCAACTTTTCAGGAGATTTGTTTTAGGTAAATAATTCCTCAATACTGATGAGAAAGTTCAAGTTTCACTGGCAGATAAATTAACTTACAATATGGGAAAAATGCCTTGTTATAAGCGAAATAATCAGTTGCTGCAAGTAGAACTTTTTCACTAATATTAAGGAATTATTTACCTGAAACAAGCCTCTATATTACTAAAAATTACATGTAAGTTAATGTTGGCTTATTTCAAGTTTACTGAGATATTTATATTAGAAACTAGACCAAAATTACTTGGTAAGACTTTGAGTTTTTGTAGTGTTTGCATTTGGTACATCTTCTTTGTAAACTATATGACTTGGGTCAAACATTTTGAGTAGGGCAGAAATGATTAATTGGATTAATCATGATGAATCGATTACTGAAATAATTGTCATGTAATTTAGTTATTGATTAAACTGGAATATACAAACAAAAAATAGCTAATTAGGCAAAAGTTGTTTAATTTTCCTATATAAAAACTGGATAATTTATTTGCAACTATTAATGTATTTCTAATTTTGTATTAAAGAAGTTTTAACTCAACTTTTATTTGATTGTAGCCATCTTACATCATTCAAATCGAGTTTATTGCTTTTTTTATTAGTTTTGTTCCTCTGTTTTTAAACTGTATGACTCGGGTCAAACATTTTGGGCCTTTCAACAGTTTGCTGGAAATCTGGCCAATTCCTCCTGAAATAAGTTGTGCAAACAAGTCAGGTTTCCTTCTCTGACTCCAGAGATCACAGGTTAATTAGTCCTGAAACTGTTTTTGTCTGAATGTCGTTACTAATTTAGTCGTTTGCTTTGGGTCATTGTCCATTTGAAAGGCCCATTTGTGCACAAACTTTAGCTGTTTCAGTATTTTCAAATGATGTTCGTTCCTCCTGATACCATTTATTTCGTGAAGTGCAACACAAAACGTCACAGTCGTAAAATCCTGTTGACGACCTTCTCCCTTTTCCTCCAATTGTGGCAAAAGTCATTATGGCCACTTGAATTTTAGCTCCATCCTACCACAGGACAAATCTCTGGAAAGAAAGGCCTTGATCCTGGAGTGCTTTGTAAATTGTAATTTAACTTTTATGCTGGTTTTGAAGTGATGTTCTCTTTCAGCCCAAAAGGCTTCAGGTTTCAGTTCCTTCTCGTTCCATCGTTAGCCAGGATCTTCATGAAGTCCAGTCCTATTCCTGAACTGTCTGGATATTACCTTTTAATTTTTTACTTGAAATTATTTGAAGAAATGAAACTGGCATCTTAAATCTTATTGATTCTGATTCTGTTCAACAAAATTGGGGGAATCAAAAATATTGATGTTTTACTCTGTTCCAAATTAAATGTCTTAACTTGTATCTTCAAAGAGTCGTTCTGGGTCCGGTTTTATGGCTGGTTCTGACTGTCTTTCATGACTTGACAATATCTGGGCAGCAAAGACGATATTTCATACTAGCATCAGTTGTTGACAAGCACTGCTGATCCACATCATTTGCTTCTGCTGCTCATCTTTGCATCTCTGGCTGGTCAGAAAGTCTTGGCAGGGAGATGTTGGAGTAGGGGATAAGAGCTCATCATCATTACGATTGATGGAAGAGAGGGTTAGGAGCTCTTTGGTCCTGCCCTCCTCTGGCTTTGGGGTCAGAGTTCAGGTATTACTTTAGCTTTTGAGATGCTCACGAATTAGCTGCTCCCAGTTGTAAAAAAACTAAACAAAAGTGATCACCTATCCGACTACCTAAAGCTTCCTAAACCAGACGGAATAACTGTCCAAAATGTTTGGATTCAGTTTGTTAAGGATGAAATAAAAGTATTTTTTCTAAATTATTGGCTGACAACCAAAGAAATTTCATATTGTATTGATCTTCCAGAATTGATTAGTCTATTTTCCTGGTGTTTGTTGCCATAGACCCTCCATATCCATGCATCGGTTTACATTTAGCCTGATTTCACTGTTGCTTGGCAGCTCCCGCATGATTATCCAGTTTCAGAAAGAGCTTAATTTCTGAAGGACCGGGGCTCGTTGTGGGCTTGTGTTATGAAAGAATATTGAATATGTATGATTTGCAAGAGGGCAGCTTTCCCTATTGCTACCAGAAGCCTTTCATGTGACTGAATAAAGACCGCCAAGCCTAATTTACATGGGCTTCGTCCCTTTACCCCTCATTTGCCTTGCGTTTCTTTGTTTGTACTCTGAGGAAGTGGTGGGGGGGCTGGTGAGATTTCTCAAAGTGGCTATGTGCAAAGTAAACACATCTAATTACAGGGTTCCTGTCTGGATCTGGAAAGTATGGAAAATCAGTTTGACAATTATCAAAGAGAGGATAAAAATGCCGAGAAAGATCTCGGCATGCTGTTATCTCGTCGTCTTCATGCCTTTTTGGCTCTTGGAGATGTTGAGCCTGTCCTGTCCGGGTGAGATCAGCTCATAACAGTCTGACTCACTCAGACCTGTGAATGATGGAAAACATTTGTAATGCCAGTAAAAATCATCATGTGAAAAAATGCGACACACTTCACCGTCCCAGAACGATTTGGTGTTTGTACCCACTTAAGGAATAGTCATAGACCACTTCCTGTTTGCAAGTTCTGCCTGAGCCCATCTCTTTTTTCATAAGACGACAGCAGAAAGCAGCAGACAAAAGGTCCCTCCTCTCCTTTGTTTTGCATTGCACCAGTTGAAGACGGCCTCTCCTTTGAGCTGTAATGCGGCTCTGCATGGAGGTGAAGTTGTTTGCACCTGTCCCCCAGGCGAGGCGAGGAGAATTCCCACTGCTTACCACCTGGCCCTCATGGCTGCCTGCCTTTTGTGTGGGAGTTGAGGAGCAGAGGGTCCATACATATGCTAATCGCGCTTCCAGGATATGTCTGCAAACCCTAGACCCTGCGGTTACAGAGCACAGAGAATCCGTATGAAGATTAAAGCTCTGGCACACCAATTCACACACAAGAAAGGCAGGCTGATCAAACAGTTTGTGTAGCCTGACATTTTACATTATTAGTTATATACGAGCACAAGCCACAGATCGCCAGGAGCCGTTTCCACTGAACATGTATGCAAGTCTTTGACAAAAAAACACGATATCGCAATTTCAGTGATCCATTTAATAAGGGCGCGTCCAGGCCAGTTGTGTTTAGTCCGCTTTGTTCGAACCACACTTGTCTGGAAAGTCCTGTTGGTTTGTGTGAATGACCAAAAGGGTTGTTATAAATGATTATTTTAGTAATCTAGTATTCTGTTGATCATTCTGATGCATAATCAAACGAAATATTGGGAAGTTCTACCATAACAGCAGTATTACTACTGGATGTTTTCATGTTTGAGCATCTCTAACAATAACTTGTCTGTGGTTTAGAAAATGAACCTGTAACAATAATAGCTCACTTTCTAAGTTAACATGAAGAAAATTTATACAAAAATCTGAAATTATGTCCAATTTAATCATAAAGAGGCGGGTCACAAAGACTACTCCAGTTTTTCATTCTTCAGTCAATTTAACAGATGAACTCTGACCTTGTCCAGCCATGTTAGCCACAGGATTTGACACCTTTGTTGGTCACACACAGAAAAACATCGACCATGTATGTACCCCCACGATGCGCTGCGTCACTCATTTGTTGAGACTGGGATGATATGAAATTTATTTTCTCATTCGTCCGTAAAGCTACACTTACATTAAGCATCAACAACAGAGCAGCAGCCCTCCATGTTCATCCCGCTCACATGTATAAATGCACCCGCTGCGCACTTCACCGCCGTTCGCTCTGAACACCAGGCAGCTCAGCCAGCGGTTCCAAATGCAGGAAGCGGATCACATTGAAGGGCATTCTGGGTACATACAACCAAAACAAAAGCTGGAGTCAAGGCCTGGCGTGAAAAATGACTCGTGGTTTTTTCTCAAAGATGAGAGAAATCCTGCAACTGGATATTTAAAATGTCTTCACGTTCCTGTGTTAAATGTTCATTAGAATTCAAAGTTTATTGATTTTTGAGAATGTGTTATTATGCAATTATTACCATAGTATTACCTCAAAATGGTCTCAAAACAACAATGTTAACATTTATTGCAATAATTACTGGGATAGTAATTTGTTAGCAAATTACCAGCAAAATTTGTTATTGTGACAGGCCTCATGACAAATGTTTGATGCCAGTTGTTGCTGCCAAAGTCGACACGAACGATTATTCGGCTTAAGAGTCATTATATATATATTTTTTTTTAAAGCTATCTGCATTTAGTATTAAAATTGGTTTAATGACATAAACCAAATAGTTACAATGGAATATGGCTTAAAATCACCAATAATTTATGTAGATAATCTTGTGAATACCTCAAATCTAATTTCTGAATGTGTGTGATTAATTTAAGGTCAAAATGTTATTTATTTTGGACAACAAATTGTAATTGGTAATGGAACTAAAATCCTGGTTTCGGATATGACAGTAGTTTGGCATTTTCTGATGCATCGTTTAGACCAATGCACAAAACTACAAGTAATTTACTACTTTTTAGAAAGAAAAGTGACTGTAAAACATTCAGATCAACAATTTAGTGGCTAAACCAACACGTCATATAAAAACTCCCACCAGAGGATAGCAGCAGGACTCTGCATGCATGTCTCTGTGTGCAATCTAAACAAAACAGCCCAGATTCCACTGTGATTCAATTGAAGCCCAGTCATTATTTCCTGCTTTGGAGCTGAGCTGGATTCTTGAGGATGTTGTCGGCATGTAACCCTTTGGGTGGGAATCACAATAGGAAGCGAGCTGCAGACTATGAGTTTTATCTGTGCAGCATTGCATTATCAGGCACAACACCTGGCACGCTTCTCTGTGCACAAGGCACACAAGCTAAGGCTGCAGCTTCAACAGACCGCATTGCTCGTCTCAGGTGAATAAAAGCGGCCGCCTGTGATAATCTGTTGTTGGCAGTGGAAATGTAGTCAATAGAAAATTATTGTAACTTTTTTTTTTTGTAATTTAAACTAAGACTGGGGTTTAAGGAGAACCTTAAATGACCAGTGTTTTTTTCCCTCTGCTTCTAAAAAAAAAAAAGAAAGCCCAAACTCAATAAGTTAATGTTTCATGTTGCCATTATCACAGTTGATTAGCACTGTGCCATTACCTAGCAACCACAGCCAAGCTCCAGCACTTTTGGTCAGCTGGTTTTACCGCTGTATGCGCTGTACAATGGCTGCTGGAAAAGAGAATGGACTTGTTGTTGACTTACAATTCAGAAACCACTTGCTGCATTATCGTTGATTGTGCAGAAGGCTCTACTTTTGCTTTTCAAAGAAGTTGTGTAATTGCACATCTGTTTGCAGCCATTTTTATGTGTGAGTGTGAACGTTGAGTTGAGGGTGTGGCCAGCCGCAGATCATTTGGATTTAAAGGACAAGAAGTCCGAAACTTTGATTTTAGTGTGTACAACGGAGCCCTATAAAATCACATCATCTAGGAATGATTTTAGACAATGTAATGATGCCTTACCACATGTGCCTGCTTGACTTCTTTTAAAACAAATTTTGTGATAAATTTAAATAAAAATGCAAACAGTGGAACCAAAAACCTCAAGATTCTCACTTTACTGGTGTCTTGTTAAAAAAGTTGAAACTTTTCTTCTTGCTTGAAGTTTACTGTCAAAAACGTAAACATACACAAAGAGTTTTACATGGGAATAGAGGAACAGAGATAAATGAATAAAATAAGCACAAACAACTATTAAAACAACAATAGAGAGCTTGTGAGAATAACATAAATTTAACACTTTAAGCAATGCAGCAGTGTTCTGCCTCTAGAGGAAAGCGACAGTAAATCATAATGTTCTCAGTTCTGGTTTAAGACACCAATAGTTTTTGCACATGTCAGGTTTTCTCACTGATTTCTTTTTCCTAATGTTGGTCAAGGCTCAGACAGGATTTTGGATAAGTTGCAGCTACCTGATTGGTTTTTCCAGCGACTGCTCTATAGACCATCACAATTATCTAACCTGCATTTGAGCTTCATGACCAGGAGTTGGTAGGAAACCCTTTTCTCTGGCATTGTTGCAAAGATAACTGATTTAGTATCACACGTCTTGTGGTTGGTAAAACCGGGCCCATTTTTTAAAATTAGGCTCTGGAGACAAATTAGGAAGTTGCATGTCATCTGGCAAGATGTTGCTGACATATATATATATATATATATATATATATATATATATATATATATAATATATATATATATATATATATATATATATTATATATATATATATATATATATATAGTGAAGTATTCAACTGCAGCAGGTACATCGTTTAAATCTTAACAAATAAATCTAATACAACACCGCTAGAAATATTGCTGTGATTTTTGTCATGAAATAAATATTTATTACATGGTAAAAACTACCTTTGTTATTATATTTGTACTAAAAACATTCGTTGACTCATTATTTTAAGACAGTTGTTAAAAGCAACATGTGGCTCCAGTTTGCAGCCTGCAAATCTATACAGATGCTTCAAATCTTCAGAGTTGTTTAAATCATTAAAATTTATGCCTTGTGTTAAAGCTGCATTTCTGATGCAGTTCACCAGTGAAACTGTATTTTTTCCCCCAGCAGTGAACTGTGTGAAGCCACTGTGCCCTTTCTAGCCATTTGCATGGGGTAAGAACAGATTCGGCTGCAGCTTCCAGTTCCTGAATGTTTGGCAGAAACTTCAAACTGCACAAGTCATTCCAGAGGCCATGGACGAAATGTTAATGCTAAAGGCTAGTTACACATCTGCCATCCAGCGCGGCCAAGCACAGAGGTCCCTTTTTACGAGAGCACAAGCATCCATTTAATAAGTGTCCTTTCCTGGGGGGAACCATGGCCAGCGCGCCGGCTCACACAACTCCATGGGTGTTCGTCATTATTCACAGGGCGATATTCCATATCACCCTGCGCTGTTTAGAGAAAGAAGATGTTGTTTGCACGGAGCCGAGCTTAAGGCAGGGCGAAGGCGGTGACATTTACGATGTGTTGCGCCGCTGTGCTCGTGTTGTCGGAGCGGACCCGGCGCTGATAGACACAATCAGGGGGAAGTATGTGGTTTCTGCAGGCCTATGAAAGATCCGCTCCCTGCTTCTGGTTTTGCATTATTTTACATAATTTAACCGTTGCTTATTTCTTTCAGCAGAGGTCGAAAAGGCGAGTTCATCGAGACAGAACTGTCTCTATGCTCTCTAGGAGTAAAATCCCATTTATCAGCTGATTTTCTGTAATCATCTACAAACATCTCAATGTTTATTGCTTGGCTCATTCGGCTTTGATAAGCCTGCAGTTGTAACTAGAGTAATTTCTGGATTTGTATTGCTGAGGGTGAAAGAACAGAAAGTCGGGAACTTTATGTCACCTTTAACGAACAGAGATGTCTTCATGGCAAGTAAGCACGAATGCTCTTTGATTCTTAAGTGTTTTTGTTCGGAGTGTTTTTCCTGTCAGAAGACAAATATGTGAGCTCAGTGTCTTGCAACACAGTTTGGTACAACTCGGCTTCGCAGTAGGAAAAAAAGGAAAAAGTTTTTGTTGTTTAGGAAATTTTTTCCTCAGGGATGGTATCCCATGACTGCTGTACTTATTTTCACTGATTTCAGGTATGCAGCTTTATTTTGAAACACACACCACTTGCTAAGTGCTTTCAGATGGGTTTTTCTGAACATTTTAGACTCTTTGAGTTTATTTTTTTGTTGAAATGGAGTTTCTGTCGGAGGCCTTTAATCAGGGGGAGTACAAAGTGCGGCGCATGGGCCATTTGCAGGCCTCCGAAAGGTTCTCTAAATGGTCCACATTTGGTGGTTCGTGTAAATTGAACTTTTTACAATATTTTGGGTAAGATTATGATGATTATGGTAAATTAAACAGTCTTAAAATGCAAAACTTTAGGTGCGAAGCAAAAGTATTCATCTGTTATTAATCACATTTTTTCTTTGCTTTTTTATTTTCGTAGTAAGCAGAACCACAAATATCCAAACTTTTACTTGAATGGAGACTTATGAACAGAACGGGATCCACAGCCTCTTGTTTTTGCTGAAAAGTGTACAAAATTATTATTTTCTATACCAAAAAACAAACTTAAAATGCAGATTTATCATCAAAAATCTAACAGCTTTCATTAAAATATTGCATATCTATGGTGTTGTTGAAAAAATGTAAAAAAAATAAAATGCAATTATATTTAAATTTAATCTTAAGGTGTTTAGTTAGCTGATTCTAATTTTCTGAGACACTGAATGTTGGGTTTTCATTATATATAAGCGGTAATTTATGAAAATTATGAGTCACAAAAGCTTGATCACTCGATGTGCATTAATTATATGAGTTCCACTTTCTAAGATGACTGGTGAAAAATATTGCACTTTTGCACAATATTGAAGTTTTTTGTGGTGTTCTGGTAGATTTCAAACCGGTGCAGCTGTAAACATTTTTTCTTTGGGTTTATGAGTATTTGAATTTTGCATTTCATGTACAGGCAGTTAAGTCAAATGTGAACAAGTCTTTTTGTTTACTTTCACCCAGATGCAGAAACATGCACTCCACCCATTTTGAATTGCACAAACAAGCATTCAAATCTATTGGTCTGTTCTGCAGAAAAGGTGCAACTTAGTGGGAACAACAGATGTGCAAGACGTTTCTGTAACATTTTAGTAACACGAGCTGTCCGCACATCCTTAAAAAAACTCATGTAGGTACAAATTAAGGCCTTAAAATGTCTGAAATTCATTTAAGAAAATGGAAGTCAGTCTTAAATATATTAATCATGGTTCTAAAATTTGGTTTGACTGGATTATTGCAGTTCTTTTTAATTATTCTTAAAATTATTTCTGCAAGGTAAAAGTTGCAGAGGCGGTTTGTAACTCAAGCTTTCAAGCTAGATACTTAGCTATTTTTGTTGCATCTATCTCAAGTAATTTAATGCAAATGTATCATCAACAGTGTGGACATTTGTTTTTGCCACCGGGTCACATATATTGTATGTTTATAGAGTTGACAGCCTAAATTTTGTTCAAGTTGGCATTAAAAAAGGTCTTTAAAAAGTCTTAATTTTGACTTGATTCCATGTAATGTTCTTTGTTTTGTTTGTCTTTCTCAGACTCCAGGTCTCTGGATCGACGAAGCTGCTGAACTGGGAAGTCCTCACCAGCGATCAGCGTCGTGGGGGAGCGCAGACCATCTGAAAGAGGTACTTTCTCCTTCTTCAACCCCCCAGATGATCCGGTCACTGCTGCTGCTCACAGCTAACGCGTCATTATATCCACACAGCTGGCTAAAGAAAATGTTTCTGTCATTCTTGAGGTTCTTCATTTACTTAAAGTGTGTTTTTATTTGTCAGAGTCTGAGGTCAGCCTAAATATTACCCTCCTTAAAGTCGGTTTCCACTCCTGTCTATCTGCTGGCCTTGGCGGCCCATCCAGCCGACCACATGGACTCCATGCCTCCAGACCACAGGCTAAATTTATCCTCCTCTGTTCTCCGCAAGGCTGCACTGTGTGAATCTCATCATGTCTGTTGTTTTTCAGACAGTATAGAGGATCCACACTGAAGGAGGGCAGAGGATACAGCTGCGTTTTAAAACCAGCAGATCTTTTTTTTTTCTTTCTGCAGAGCTCCACTTTCGTTCCACACTGCAAAAATATAAACTCTTACCAAATATGTTTGGTCTAATTCTCAGTACACTTGGAAGACAATTTGAAAAGACAAATAACTTTACAGCACAATGTTGCTCAGTTTAAGTGAATAATTCCTGAAAAAGCACTAGTTCACTGGTGGATTATTTCACTTATAGCAAAACATTTTCCTATTTTTTATGAGTGAAATAATCTGATCGAGAACTTTTTAGGTAAAAATAAGAAATCATTCACTTAAAACAAGCTGAAAAGTTACTTATAGTTTAGTTTTGTCTTACTTCAAGTTACTAAAAATTAAACCAAACATATTTGGTAAGATTTTGTATTTTTTGCAGTGTACAGTCAAGAGCGTTCCCTGATCTCTAACCTTGCACTGCAAAAACACAAAATCTCACCAAATTGTTTTGATCTAATTTCTTAGTACACTTCAAAAAAAGGCAAAAATAACTTAGAAATAACTTCAGCAGGGCACTGCTTGGTTTAAGTAAATTATTCCTTTAATATTTATTAAAAACGTATTAGTTTTATTTCACTTCTAACATGGAAAAAATGTCTTGTTATAAGTGAAATAAATTTTCAGTAGAATTAGTGTTTTCAAAATAAAAAATAAGGAATAATTTACTTAAACCAAGCTCACATATTTTATTGAAAAGTTCCCAGTTAGTTAGTATTTCCAGTGCACTAAAAAAACTAGATAGAAAATACTATTTACGTGCATGAAGTCAGTAGTAGCGCCAGTTTAGCTGTAATTAAGCAAAGTGTCAGAGCAACACAGCAGGTATAAAACAAGTTATGAAACCTTTTATGAAATGCATCTGCAGCAGCGTCTGGCCTCCTGCTACATAAATCACCTTTAAGCACACCTCTGACTGTATAACTTGACCTGCCTGGAAAATGTTGTGTTCACTGTTCTGCAGAACAACTTGGCCTAGAAATCAATAGCTCAGCACAGCTAAGATTACACCGGGCTGCCTGGACTTGTCATTATCGACTGCTTCCACTAAGCGAGCGCAGGGAGCAGGATTCCTGCTCTCTAACCTCTGCAATTTAACGAGTGGGAGGACGTCTCTTTGTTGACAGTGTTGCCTGGAGTACAAGATCTGCGCTGAAGAACCACACCTTTGTCTGCACAGCACAACTGTGTCTGTTGGTCTTACAAAGGGTATCCTGTTTTTTCGCTGTTACTCAGCCAGATGTAGCAACACCCACTGACCCAACTCATTTCATCAGCAGGCTGATTCTGGAAGTGTTGCAGCAACTTTCAACCAGGCCTGTTGCAATAAGCAATAAATCACATGATCAGTTTAAGCAATGATTTATTATCTTTCTCTTTTCTCTCTTTTCCTATCAAAAACTGGACGATAAAAGTCTTCACCTTTTTCAACTATCTTTTTCTTAAAAGCAATTTTGTTAACAGAGACTTCATAATTAATTTTGTTGTTTTGTTTGTTTATTCTGGATATTTAAAATGTCTTCCAGTTCCAGCTTTAAATGTTCATTAGAATCTAAAATTTACTGATCTTTTAGTTTGGTTTTTTTGCATTATTATGTCATTATTACCATTATATTACTTAAGAATTGCCTCAAAACAACAATATTTTTGTCTATTGCATGAACTTCTCAAGAAATTTTGATGCTGTGGCAGGGCTGCGTTTAAGTCAGGTTTGTTTTAGTAAATCTTTTCAGAAGAATGCAAAAGTCCCGTCCCATTTTATTAAACAATAATTGTGACGATTAATCAAATAAAACATTTTCATTTAACCCGTTAAGCCTGTTTGACACAATATTTGAAACATGACTAAAAGATGTAAATAATTAAATCATTTTTTGAATAAGAAAACAAAGATTTAATTGAACATTAACAGAAAAGCAGCGACAGTAAAGAAATACATCAACTGTAGCAAAATAAATTCTTCACTGATCCTAAATATTTGGATGCGTGTTGTGCACCAATTTATCGACGCTGATTTTCTTAATTTTGGGAGATCGGATGATACTTGCAGACCGGCCCATCAGTCTGCATGTTTTCAGTGAACAATCGTCACCCACTGCTGCCAACCCAACAAGTTTCTTCTACATTTAGCAACATTTCAGACAGAAATCAGAGTCGTCAGGTCAGGCTTGTTGAACATCAGTAATGGGCCAGAAAACTGCAGTCGCTGTGACGTTTATCACCGTGTTTCATGTTGGTTTACTGGCTCCGTCTGTTTCACTTTCAGCAGATCGCTAAGCTGCGCCTGCAGCTGCAGCGCAGCAAACAGGTGACCAGGCAGAGCAAAGACAGGGAGCAGAGCTCTCTGCAGCTGCAGCAGCTGCCGCCGCCGCAGCAGCACAGCGCCGCGTGCCAATCACAGGTAAGCTCTCATGTCACGCTTGTAGTCATGCTCTGTTGGGCTGAAAACATTATCATTAACTCAACGTGGTGATGCAAGATTTTACACAGGAATGATAAGGGAGCCAAACTATAACACAGCTGCTGGAGATTAGAAAACTAAACAATTCAGTGTAGCTGCATTTTACACCTTTAAATGCATATTTAAACTTTCATCAAGTATAATACATACTGTCTACATTTACTGGTATGTTGTTTAGATTTGTGTGTTAATTGAGTGTCATGCAGGATGCGTTAACTTTTCCTAAACAGGAGAAGTTTGAGGTCAAACGGAGGCAGAGGAGAGGGAATGTGTCTGGGCATGTCTTCCTCTGAGCTGCAGCTCATTCATCAACTGAGAGCCAGGAGAAGAGATGCTGAGCTGCAGCACACACGCAGCACACACGCAGCATTGAAACTGATGCTTCTGACCACAGCTCTGTTCTGTTTAGCTGAAAACGCGTCTCTGCAAAAAAGCATTTCTGGTTGAATTTCTAAACCAAAACTAACTTGCAAGTAGCTTTTCAGCAACATATAGGAGGTTTATTTGAGTAATTCCTTAATTAAAAAGCACTACTGATTATTTCACTTATAACAAGACATTTTTTCAATTTTATAAATGAAAAACCTGCAAGTGAAACTAATTATTTTTTATCTGTATTAAGGAATTATTTACTTAATACAGGCTCCTCTACTTGTAAGTTTGTTTTGTCTCATTTGGATTAGAAACTTAGGTAGGATTTTGTGTTTTGCAGTGTTGTGGTTGCATCTGGTGCAAATAGCTATTTGCACCAGATATTTCTGGTGCAAATATCTTAGTACATTTGGGGGAAAAAAAGACTCAATAGTAACTTTTAAGCAAAATATTGGAGCTTGGTTTAAGTCAATAATTCCTTTAAAATGTATCTAAAAAGTACTATTTCCACTGGTAGATTATATTTATCTGTAACAATATTTTTTCATGTTGCAAGTTAAATAATCTGCCAGTGGAACTAATACTTTTTTATCAATATTAAATAAATTATTGTGCTGAGAAGTTACTTTTGTCTTATTTAAAGATGTCTAAATCATTAATTCACCTTCAAAAAGTGTTGTTTCTTTGCAGTACAAGGGAACTTCTTCAACTTTAACGTCAAACCCGATGCCCAAGTCGCTGATCTGCAGAGTGCCGAGCAGCGTGGAGGGAATCAACCATGAGCTGGAAAACGTTTTCATACGAGACGACTGGGAGCACGGCCTGCAGGTACAGCATCTGGCATGTCACCGTTCACACGACCTCAGTGAAGTCCTGCAAAGTTTATTATCTGACTAATTTAGCTGTTGTGATTCAGTCATTAAATAGGAATGCTCACCATGCAAAGCCTGCAAAACAAAAATACTGCAAATGGCATTTTGAGACCAATTTTAGGACCTGAATCATGAGGGGAAAACTCTTAAAGTTGTGATTCAATCCTGCATCTGCCCCTTTTCTACAAACTGTTATGAACCTGACAGGAAATGTCCGATTTGAAAGACATTTAGTCCTCAACCACACCTGAGATGGGAATGTTTGTAAGAAAAGAGCATGTGCAGCGGCGCCTTGGGTTATAAAATATGTAACTTTTTTACATATTTGAAAAACTGTCACCATGTTGTGACAGTTTGTTATAAGACAAGTAATCCGTGAAAACATTGATCTCCTCCACCTCCTTCCTGACAACCAGGAGGAGGGTCTCAGCGCTGTCAATCATCCTCATGCACTCACTGCTAAATGTGGTAATGTTGGAGAAACAACTAGCGTTCATTCGCCGTTGTCTGTAGCCATGCTAACTAGCTTTAGAATTCATAACCGAAAGGAAGGAGAAACAGATGGGGATGTGCAACGCCACAATGAGAGTGATTGACAGCGCTAAGACTGTCAATCAGTTCGATTTTTTTTCACGGATTATCTGTCAGTTATCTCTTTTATTTTTTTTATAAAAGTAACATGCTGTAGCTTTAGGAGGAGTTCTGCAGAGACGACTTATTGCACCTGGATGCCTTTTGTTCTTCTCCTGCTTTAAAATGTCTACAAAAAGACATAGTTTAATCTCAGTTAATTGCTTAGACTATAACTTTTTCCTTGGGTTCATTTGACTTAATGAAGTTATTTTCATCCAACATTAAAATTGGTCTGATCTGAAATATCAAAGTGTGATTAAAAAAAGCAAAACAGAAGACATATATAAGGAGAAAATACTTTTTCACACCATTGTGCAGGTAAGTTCAGTCGTAACCAAACCAATCTTTGCTCCGTTTGTCAGTTATTGATTTGGTAATTAAATGTGTATCAGTTTTGTCTTGGACCTCTGAAGGAATCATCTCCATTTTGCCTTTTACGAAAGCAATCATTGCATAAACTAAACATTTAAAGGCTTTACTGAGAAAAGTCATGGAACTACTATTAAACTTGTTAGCTATGCTCAGGATTTGTTAAATTTGTGCAAAAACAAGCTTGTAAAGTCAGTTCCTGCATATATTTGTACAGTGTGAGAGTCCACTTGTTTAGAAGCCTGTAAATCAGCCCTGATACGAGGTTGTAAACCTCGGCAGGGCTGCGACGCTCCACACCCACATGGCTCAAACACCAAACAAACACACGCTAGCCTGCAGATTTACAGCTTGCTGTGCACTCTGCCTTCCTTTTGCTCGCTCTTGTCAGTCAGCTGAGCCAAAGCTCAACACAATTCACATCCTGCTGTTCTTCAGTACCATCTGGTCTGCTGTTTGCTTCTGCAGTTGCCCTTTTGACAAACACATCACAGGGCTCTTAATTGGAGATGTTTTAAGATTTAGGGCATTTTAGATGGCACTTTGAGTTTAATGTGACGTCATCCAAAGAGAGACGTTTCACCTGAAGTCCCTCCATCTGTTGGCATCGGTACTCGAAGAACCCAGGTCCAAATGAGGAAGTTCTCTGTCTTCCTACATTCACAAACAGATGATTTCTCACCTGGGATGTCCATTCACGATTTATTAGATTCAAATTTGTTCCAGCTTCAAATTGCTAAATTTAAAATGTCCGCTTAGAACATGTGCCAAATTTGGCCCGCTTTAGGCTTTTGTGGCCTTCAGATTACATCGATGAGTCCCTAAAGTTTCACAAATACACAAAATTCACACAAAAGTGGTGCATCTAATGCATCCCTCTAATATACCGGCAATGAAAAACACCAGCCAGAATGATTTGGACACATCTTGCGCTCCATGCTCCTCCACACAGACTCTGAATGTAAACCAGACGCGTTTGATGTGAACGCACCATCAGCGAACTGTGATCGATACGACGATTCATAAAAAGTCACATTTAATATCACACATTTGCGCAAAGATCATAAAAATTCCTTGCAAATATTTAGAAATTAGCGCCTTAAAAATCAGTCCAAACGAAACATTTTGGACTGATTGGTCGGTGGAATTAAGTGTTTCAAAGATTTTATCTTCATTTTTAAATGTTTCTGTTCTGCAGTCTCGTTTGTTATATTTTATAAATGTCTAAGTTTAATCGTGAGGAAACCACAATTGTCATTTTATTCAGTGAGTATTAAATACAGCAAACACAAAATAATGTTACAATCCTATGATTTTTTAATTTTATTTCACCTTTCCTGTCATGGAAAGATGGCCGACCCTCTGTGGACAAGAGAAAATGGCCGCTTTGCAATCAATCTCTAGATTAACCCAATAATGGATAATTTGTGCCACCTGGTTTCCTCTCAGGCCATGGAGGCGGTGGACGGCCGCCGCCCGCCCTTCCCTCCGAACCGCTACAGCAGCAGCGGCGGTGACACGCGGGACACCGACACGCAGGCCCCGTCCAGCGGCGAGTCGAGCCCGTCGCCCCGACCCAGCAGCTCCGACCACCTTCACTCCCACGACGGAAGTCCCTGTTCTGCTGAGGAGATCGATAAAGGTTTGCTCTGAGTTAAACTGACGATAGCTTGTTGTGCTGCTGTTCTGAAATAAAGTCGTCCAATTTTATTGATTCAACAAGGACAAATTGTTTTGCACGTTTGCTGCATTAGAGGAAAGGAGTCTAGTTTCCCAATTCTCATCTACACACAGTTATAGGAACAAGATTTGGGTCAGTTGCTGTCAAAACACTCGCTAATATTTAGCCAAATTCAATAAATTAAACAAAAGCTGATTCCTCTGCAGGATAAACCTGTTAGTTATAAAATGATGAATACTTAATGCTTAACATTGTAAGAAAATGACGTTGGTAATAATTTAACCCTCGTTAAAACTTGTATTGCTGTTGATCTGCGGTTGGGGCCACAAACGGGCTCAGGCAGCACTTTGGACAGCCCTGCACTACATGCAACACATGAATCATGAAGACTCTGTTTGACAAATCAAGCAAATGGAAATGATTGATTATCGTGCGATGAGTTGATCGCCGTGCGTTGCTTCGTTTTCAGACAGCGGGTGCAGCTCTCCTCTTCCCAAGTTCGCCACTTCGCCCAAACCAAACAACAGCTACATGTTCAAACGGGAACCTCCAGAGGGATGCGAGAGGGTCAAAGTGTTTGATGAGCTGGTGTAAGTACCATCATGATGCGCTTCCTTTATTACAGAGTTTTAACGTGTATTTAGAAGAAAAACAACTTCATTATGAAGGTGTGGCAGATTTCATTTTGTCATGGCATTGCGCCGCAATTACATGCAGAAGAAACAGGAAAACATGAGACATTTTCCCAAGATACAAGAGAAATAATTTGCCAATTTAACAAGCACTTTTTCATCAGTATTAAGCAATTATTTGCTTAAATCAAGCTCCTATAACTTTTGTCTGATGTGCAATAAGATATTTACTAGAAACTCTGCAAAATATTTTGTAAGACTCTGAGCTTTGGATGTAAATAAAACTGTTTTATTTTAAATGAATATGAATATATATATATCTGTAAAGTTTGGCTTAATTACTGCTTTGAATAGTCTTTTAAGCAAATTGTCTTGTTTTAACAGTCTTTATACTCCAGTTAATGATTAATTGATTACTAAATTAGTTGCCAATTATTTCAATAATTGATTAATCATGATTAACACGATTAATTGTTAGTCATTTGTTAATTGCACAAAATCTGGAATTTTTCCACATTTGTTTTATAAATTTGCTGCGAACAAATGGAGGCCGTCGTAATTTGAGAGTAACTTCTGTCCTTTTCAGATCTGGCAAATCAAAAGGCTTCCCTCTGTTCTCGTGTCCTGACAAAAACAAGGTGAACTTCATCCCCAGAGGCTCGGCCTTCTGCCCCGTCAAGCTCCTCTGCTCCTCCCTGTTCTCCCCCATCAGCCCCAGCTTTCATGCCAGCAGCAGCCTCACAACTCAGCCCGCAGCGCCGCCAGCTACGTTTTCGTCCTCCGCAGACCTGAGCGGCGGCGGCGGCCTGAGTGCTGAGTCAGGAGACGGCTCGGCACATGTAGTCCTCACCAGCTGGTCCTCAGGTATTCATGACCAAACCACCTACAAATAAAACATTGCATCTAGGCTGGTGGTTTGGCTTAAAAACAAAAAGGAAAAAAAAAATGACAACAAAAAAATTGCACTCTGATAATCCTAACATTAGCCAGCAGGGGGCGCCCTCGGCCTGAAAATGGATTCCTGTTTGAGGATGATACTTGATGTTTGGGCATTGTTGCTGACCGCTCTCCTCCCATCACTAACCTAACCCACCATGGTCACATATAGCAGGAAATCCTTTGCTTATTCTGCAATAAATAGAGCTAAATAATTAAATTATATGTAGCCTTGGCAGTCTTATCAAGATAAAAACAAATAAAAATTAAAAAAAGAAAAAAATCCAGAATTGTAACCATGCAATATCAGCAGAAAATGCATTGTGTTCATGTTATTATCCAGCTGTTCAGTGTTGAAGCTAAAACACAAATGGGATTTCTTATAATTTAACCCATTTTGGCTCTAAAGGGCACAAGACATTTTTATTGTTATTATTTCTGACATGTATGTTTGAATGTACTTGTTGCGTTTTGTTGATGAGAAGCAGCAGTACTCGTTGAGTGCAGGTTTGTTTTTCTTTAAGGCCAGGCCTAAACCATGGCAACAGGACGAGCTGAGCACAAAATGCAAAAATGCGAGCTGTTGAATCAGTGACCAAGAAACCACAAAACACACGACCTTCCTATCGCCTTCGTATTGGCCCCAGAGACTGTTGGCAGTAACTCAGGTCGTTTAGCAGCGAACGGTGCTGATTGGGGGCCGTCCTGCCATTCCTCAGAGCTTATAGTCATTTTTGTTTTCCGTTCCCAGGAAGCGTAGGTTTGAATCAGACCCAATATTTTAGGTTTTGACATTAAAACCAGTTCCAGGTGCCCACGACACATTCCACAACGAGCCGCACGACTTACTTTAATTCCCAAGCCGTTTTGATTTGTCTGGAGCATTTTGCAGCTACGTAACAATTATATTAAACACGAACCAAAGCAAACTACAAAACGGCACAGAGCCCGTCGTATCCGGGATATCAGGGCGACTTTTGTGCCAGAATGTTTGTGTGTTTTTCATTTTTGTAAAGTGATTCAGTGTCATGAGGCTCTGGGTCATTTTGCCCCTTTCAGGACTGGAATCCTCACTTTATGCCTGCAAATAAACTGTTGCTTTAAAATGAAAATAAATCTCAGTTATAACAAGATTTTCTTTGAAAATCTTTGCTATATTTTGCCATGTTTAATAAATTAAAAAAGGCTGATTTTGGTACATTAAAATTGGCTTTCCCGTTAAAAAAAGTGCTTGAATAAATGTGATTTTCTATTGTAAGAAAATTACATCAGCAATAATTTTATGTTGATTTAAAATGAAATGTCTCCATCGGGTCAAACTTGGACTGATTTTGCTGCACAAAATCAGTCTAAGGGCCACAAATGGCCCCCGCCCCGCACTTTGGACACCCCTGGTTTAGATGGATATTGTCATTTCTGCTCCTGTTCATGGATAGTATTAATTTCTATCCATAAAATGGCTGCAATCAGAATGATTTGTAGTAGTTGAGCACATAATCGTGTTCTAGCTGCTTTTAGGTTAATCTGGAAACTTCGTCATGTCAAACTCTAGAAAATCTAGTTTTCTGACTCTAAAACATTCCTGAGGCCAAAGCTGCACATGTGGTGCATCAGACAGAATTTAAAATGCATAGAAAAGAAAAACAAATGTTGCTAAATATTGCTAAAAAAAATTCTTGAAGAAAAGAATGAATTCCTGTTCTAGACGGCTTCAATCAAAGAGGTGCATTTTAAAATTCTTTACCTGCTTTATTATTTCATCTAAACACTGATTGTGATTTATTTGTAGCATTCTTTCATTTTGGTTTTGTGGCTTTAAATAAATCCTGTTTGGGTCAAAATTGGCAGATTTGACCTTGACTGACCTTCTGAGAGTTTATGAAGTTTATTAGAGTTTTCCTAATAATAATAATAATAATAATTTAGTACTTTTCCTTATATTAGGCTATCAGGGGATTATTAAAATAAAAATAAGAATAAAAAAGGGGCAAAAACGACCAGTGCTCAACATAAAACCATTGCTGCATAATTTGGGAAACATACAAACTTTTTTTTTTTGCTTAAGCACTTAATTGGAAAGGAAACGATAATCACTGTTCTGTGCTGTATTCAAGTTTGTTACTTAAAACAATCAGAAGAATGTGCAATTGATTTTTATTTAGCAGAAAAACGACACTAGTTTGTTTTATAGTTTGGGCTCCATAAAGCAAAGCGCCCGTTTCACGTCTGCTGAGTTCCCAGCACGTTTTAGAGACATTAAAGCAGAAATGTCTCTAAATGTTCATATGCTGACGACTCCCTGTTGAGATTTGTCTAGATAGCGACCGATTCCTCAAAAATAAAATCCTTTCTGCAACTTCAAAATCTTGGACCGTATCCATTCAGTGTGCCGAACGTTTAAAGAAGTAAGTTGCCAGTGTTGGCGATGATGAATTGATTCTCCTGTGTTTTACATGTTTTTGTGTAGATCTTGTTTTTTTCAATAAAGGAAACAGAAAATCCTTTTTGAATTGATATGTCTTCTCTTTTTAAAGGGCATTGAGACACACATGGACAAACAGCATTCAGTAACATCTCACATGTAGAGGCTGAGGTAAAGTTAAGGCTCTTCATCAAGTCGATATCATGATGGAAAATCAAAACAACATGAAGCTTCAAGAGGCAAAACGGTTCTCATCTGTAAATATCTTAGGGCTGGTGTGTCAAACGTAAGGCTCGGGGGCCAAATCCGGCCCGCCGTAGCTTTTTATGTGGGCCTCTTTACTCCAAACAGACGCATAAATAGAAACTTTAGTGCTCAAATGTTACGTTATCAATCAAATCACAGTTTTTAAAAAGAAATCTGTAAAATTATATCAGTCCCTGCAGTTTTTTGAGATTTAACAATTTACGCAAAATCAACAGATCCCTGCATGTTTTATGGTCATGCATAATTATTAGTTTAATGCAAATTTTGTGCAAAAATGTTCAGAAACATTTAAGAGTATAGCTGTGCTTCCATTTACCTTATAAACTAACATTTTGGAAATATTTTAATGAATAGAAGCAAATTTTGAAAAATCCTGTTTTTTTTTTGTACGTTTTTTAGCTTTAGGATGAGGTGTGTGTTTGACCGTATTTATTTTTAAACTGCAATGGAAACAATTTTCACATGAGCACAAACAGGATGTTGCCACTGGTGGAAACCATGAAGGAGGAGACAACAGGAAGTAGTAGGAGCACCGAGGCGAAGAACGTTTTTTAACTCCTTATCGCATAAACAAACTTATTTGTGTGTGATTTCAATTGTGTTTCCTATATAATGGAAACTCCAAAGTTGTGGTTCTAAACTTTGGCGGATTACAAAGATTTGCGAACATTTGTAATTGCAACTCCCACCCACAGGTGGCAGTATTTCTTACTTCTACTCCTCTGCTGACTCAACTTTGTCACTTTGAAGCTCAAATATCACAAAAATCCATAAAAATATTTCTAAATTAACTTCACAAAATCTGTGATTACAAATAAAACAATCTCAAAATCCTGATCAGTGTGAATATTTTAACAGTTTTACTTACATATTTTGCCACAACCAGCCCTTCAAATTATTCACGGTTTTGATATGGCCCATAATGAGAATGAGTTTGACACGGCAGTCTTAAGACATTCCTCCTCATATATATATAGTTGATGCAGCATTTTCATCAGCTTTAGTATATTGTGTCTTATTGTGTTTTATTGGCTCAAAAAATAAAATTAAAACTGAATATTGCCCACAAGGAGCATCCCTGGAAAATACAAACGTCTAAAGACTTTAGAAAAAGAAACAAAGCAGTGATGACCAACAGTATAACTAAAGCGACAGCATGCAGCAATGAGTTTATGTAACTCCAGAGGGAATCTCTTCAAATGAAGCAGTTTCAACACCAACTGCATGTCTTAGAAAAACTCAGTGCAAAACCTTTAAGTTGTTGATTGAAAGCTTGAACTGTGAGTGGAAGAAACGTCTGATTTCCACGACTCTTAATTAAGAGACTCTTGAAATCAAGTTTACAAAACAAACTATAACAGATGTGCATTTTGCATCTGATAGCAACATGAGTCGCTGTTTGAATAAAATTCCTTGTGAAACGTAAATTAAAATTTAACTTGACCACTTTCTAAATATTCCATCAGGTTTAAATCTAGATTAAAATCTCCAAACAATTGCTAAAGTTAAACTTTCGTAATGATGGTTAAGAAGAATTAAAATACCAACGTTCTGTGACCAGTTTCAACTTTTACAGCTGTAAAATACAGCAGAGTTCTGCTGAAGGCTGGATTTTCTCACTTCTTTTTGCTAAAAGTTTCAGTAGCTGAGTCTTTTTTTGTTAATTTTTAAATTTTTTCACCTTTAGATGACAATATTCCACAATCAAATCAACACTTCTTTTATTTCTTGGACGTTATACAAATTAAAACTCAAATTAATGTTTAATTTTAATTAGATTACAGAAACATTTTTAATTGAAGAATAATTGCAGAATTTCATCTATAGTTAAGTGTTTCGACAAAGGGGGTTAATTTTTTATGAGGAATATTCCTCCTGTGCTACAAATGTGCGCAAAACTTTAATATTTTGCTAATATAAAAAAAGACAATTTTGCCATTTCTATTAAATAAATGCCATTAAATCAGGTTTGAACAAGTTTTGTTCACACAGTAAGTAATTTAAACAAATGCTGTGCCATCTTCCTCATTTTACTTCCTGTCTTCTTTGTGGTTTCTACCAGTAGTAACATCCAATTGTTGATTTGACTTCTGTATAATTCAAAATCAAAAGAATCTAATTGATTGATTGTGCGTTAGTTTCTTTTGCCGTTTGGAGGAAGTTTAAAAATCCAGTCTTCCAGCCTCTGATGATCATCATCGTACTGGGAACAGTTTGCAGCTGAAGCCAAAACAAATGGATGTCGTTCAGGACGAACTATGCAGTGTGAAGCTCGTTTTCTCTGCTGGCTGCTCCGATTGCATCTGGATTGGAGAGAGGGTCCAGGTCAGCGAACAGGTCGAACCAGGCTGACAGATCTTTGGATGGTCCGCTTGTTTCTGCACAGCAGGAAAACAAAACACTGGAGTCATAAAATGAAAATATAAACTTGTTTTGTCCAAATTCAGTCCTGCTTATGGGTGCAAGTTATCGGTTAATGACTGATAACCAAATAGGTTAACTTAACAAATTTTCTGAATAGAAAAATAAAAACATGAAAAGAATAAAATATGAATCACTTAGTTATTCAGACAATAACTAGAGGAGCTTGTTGAGTGTTTATATTTCAAAATAGAAAGTGGATTTTATAATCCACAACAAACTCTGGACCATTTCTCTTAACCGATCCGTTACGGAACCGCCGACATCTTAAAGCTTCGGATGACCAGCAGCGCTCTCTGGTGGATGGCGGCCAAACTACAACACTAAAAGAATTAATCGGACGTTGTTAGTTAATCGATTAGAACAAAGTCTAATCAAATACCTTTCACCGCTGGCTTTAGGGGGTTCTGTCCAGATCCAGGTGATGATTCTGGCTGTGGGACAATCCCGGTCCAGTCTGATTCAAAAATAAAAATAGCTCAAAGGAAAATCATTCCACACATCTGATAAATGTCTGAAAAGTTTCCTTATCAGCTCTCAAATGTTGTTTTAGGCACTTTTATGTTTCCAGGACTTTGATTACACAGGAATATTTCATTAAGAAATATGAATGTTGCTTGTTTTGTTTGCATTTATTAATTTGGCACTAATTATTCAAAGAGGGGGGGGGGCAATATTACAACACAGTAACTAAGAAAGAAAAAGAAAGTATGATGATAAGCTTGTGCAAGTATAAAGTCAAAGTATGACGAGAATAAAGACATAATATTAAATCTAGTCTAGTTTACTCTCATAATATTCTGACTTTATTCTCAACTTTGTTCTCATAATTTAGTTTTATTTTCCATTTCTGAGTATAGGCCCAAATACAGGCGCAGTTGGTTTGACGTATTTTATGAGGATCTTTTTGTGGGACAGATTTCCACAAAGTATATAAACTCTTTTAAAGTTTTTCCTCCAGCACTGGCAATAAAACGCCTCAAGATTCCTTCTCTGCATGCTATCCTAACCCCAACCCTAACCCCAACCCTAACCCCAACCCTAACCCCAACCCTAACCCCATGCTTCCATTTTAATTACTCCACCAGTTTTTAGTTTGAAGGAAATCATCCTGCACAATCAGAGGTTTGGTTGTTTTCTGACCTGAGGCAGAAGACTTGTTCAAGCTTTGGTCCAAAAGCTGCGACGGCAAAAAGAAGGAGTTTTCCTGCTGCTGGGTGTCGGGCGGACCGGCGCTCACCGCCGTGTCTCCAGACCCTTTGGTCCATTCCTGGGAAAAATCGTCCACAAACAAACCGCCCAGGATCTCATTGAGCAGAGCCAGACTGTCCTCCTCACCATCCAATTCTGAGAAAGGAGAAAAAACATCTTTTCAATCTTACCAGCCTAATTACTAGTCCAGAGAGATGAGTAGCTTTATTATTGAGTTACTCTTTCTGGAGTAACTCACTCTACCAGTTAATAAAGAACAAGTTGGTTTTAACAAAAAATTTACCTGGTAAAGCATCTGTTTCTACTGACCATTTAGTTAACATTTCAGAAATAAATTTGATTAATAGAAACACCGAATTCATTCTTTGATTAAAATATGTTTTATTTGATACTCCATCAACTCTCATTATTAAGGCAAACATCTATAAAGTAGAAGCATATATTAGTAATTGGTGATGCTACAACATAAGAAATAAACATATTTTACCTTCTCTCATCTTTTCACTTTTTTCTTCATGTCCTAATGAGATTAGTCTGTAAAATTAAGAAGCAGAATATCAGAATAATTTGCACATATAAAGTAAGAACTTTAGTATCTACATGTGTTGACAACATCAATAAAGAAGCATAAAAATCTTTAAAAAAAACTTTATCTTCAATCTGCACAGCAGTAAAGTGTCAGTTATAGTTGCTCTGGTCAAACAGGAAGTGATCAATAAATTCAGACAATTTATTGATTGAACCAATAATTATGCTACATCTGAATTTTTCTGGCATATTTCTATTGATCACTGTTGAAGTGATCAATAGTAAAAACTAAATGGAAAACTTGCTGGTCATTAGTTGTCTCATTTCTTCTCTCCTCTGTTTCCCTTTCCGATGTTTCCTTCCCTGTCTTTTTGTCCGTGGAGTCCTGTAAACGATAACCCGACTCGTCATTTATTCTTTGCCTCTAATTCTTTTCCTCACGTTAAAAAGCTCCAACCTCATTCTGCTGGCAGCCCTTGAAGCTTTCGTGTATGGCCGCCATGGTGTGAGACGTTTTCCCCCAGAAGTGCAAAAGAGTCGTCTGAAACACAGATGATTTCTGTTTAATTCAATTTCCCGTTGGTTTTCTGATTAGGGCTCAATAGATGAGATGAACCTGGTATGTGGTCAGGATGTGTGAGAGGAGGTTGCAGCGGCTCGCCCCCAGCAGGTCAACCTTCTGGCAGACGTCGCTCTTTAACTTGTCGAAGCTGCTTTTAGTCGTCCGAACCTGAGCCTGAACCTAGGATTTAATCAAAAAACAGAAATAAACGAGTTAAACTGGACGAAGTGGTGACTGGTTGTGGCTTTCGGGTGAGTTCTGCCCTCTGGTGGTGCATGAAAACAGAATCTGAAACCTGTTTCTTTACAAGACGAGTTGAAAAATACAGAAATTTTGAGATGAATATCAGAAATTTTCTAGAAAAAAAACAAAGTTTTTGAGTTTGAAAAGTAGAAAATGTGCTTGAAAAAAAATTAATTTTGAGATTATTCTCAGAAATGTAATTAGAAAAGCTTGGGCATTCCTGGGTTTCTTTTCATTATAATTTCTGAGGTTAATCAAAAATGTCAAAGATTTTTCAACTTTTTACTCTCAGAAACTTCCAAGTTCTTTTCTAGAAAATTTCTGATATTCATCTCAAGATTTGTACAATGCCTGCTGGAAAAGACAAGTTTTTCGTTGTCGACTTACTATTAAGAAACCACTTGCTGCATTCCTGTTGACTGTGCAGGGGGCTCGACTAATACTTTTCAAAACTGAACGGTTGTATAATTGTGCATCTGTTTGCAGCGATTTTCACATGTGATTGTAAACGCTGAGTTGGGGGCGTGGCCAACAACTGGTTATTTAGATTTAAAGTGACAATAGACCCTAAATTAATAGAGACAGAACTGACCAGAATAAAATCTCTTGTGCAAAAAATGTAATGATCAGCCGCAGACCCAAAGACAGCCTGGACATTCATTGGTCACACCACTCCACAGTCCTTTAGAAATATCTGTGGACTGGTTGATATGTGGCGGTGAACTCCCATCTGTTTTTTCTGTAGACTTTTCCATGTGGAGGACAAACCTTGCGAAATTTCTCCATCTGTTTGTGCGTGTCTGGATCGAGCTCCTGAGAGACGTCCTTCATCCAGAGCAAGGCTCCGCGGTACTCGGTCCGACACTGCTCCATCCGATTCACCGTCAGCCACGTGTCGGAGATGGCCCGGTAACGGAAAGTCTCGATCTCCTGGTACAGGCGGCACAGAGGTTTCCTCAGAGCCAGCCTAGAAGAAGAAGAGCTGTCCTCAAAATCAAACCTCCAGAGGTCTGTAATCCAAGAACTACGTTTATTTTACAATATCCTGACCTTTGTGACACTGACTGGGATATTAGGCCTATTAGGCCCCTGATAATTTAGCATGTTACTGTAAAAGTTGTTATAATGTGGATGCAAACATTAAAAATTGCATGCTCACCTCTCAGGTTTTTCCCATTAGCTAATTAAATTTCAGGATGACGGCCATTTCTCAAGTTGGCCACCATTTTTGAGCCGATTAAACCAAATATTGCCAAAAAATGTCACCCACTGCCATATGTTTTTGACTTTGTTCCTTTTTGTACAAATGTAAAGTGATAATGCGAAGCAAAATCAGATACTGAAACTGAGGACTCGGTGTTTGCAGGTCTCTCACCAGTTGTCAACTGATTTATTGACAAGTGATCACCAATCATCTAATTGGTGATTTTACTGCAAAAATCAATGCATTTTTTATGACACCATATCCTAAATCTAGTGATGTGGGTGTGCAGTCAGAATATGTACCTCTGCTGGGAGGAGAAGCAGAGAGCTTTCCCTGTCGCCTGCATGATCTTCCCAGCGCGGCTTTTGTCCTGCGACCCCTGGAGGCGAAGGAATCGACCCAAATCGTTTTCCTCCTGAGAGAGGACTGAGAAGTATCCATGAAAAATGTTTAGGAAAATAAAATACTGATTCCCGTCTGATTTTCAGTCTTTGCTATCAAAACCAGCCACTAAAACTTTAATAAGCCAACATATAAAGAGTCTTGGAGGGGAACAAAAGTAATCAAGATGACCAAATTTAAAACAAGCTAAATGTTTAAAAGTAGGTATTAGTCAACAGAAGTAACTTATATTTACTTTCAGGAATATTTTTATCAAGCTTTACTTTTGACCTTTTCTTGACTAATTTTATATGAAGTATTGCTACTTCTGAGTGAACTTTCTGGTACTTTACTCACTGTGAGCAACTTCACTAAATGAAGAAAACATGTTTTAACCAATAATTCACCAAACACTGCAGTTTTTGTTAAGAAAGATTAGAGAAATGATTTTAACTTTAGTTCTTAAAATACTGGCATTTTCACATGACTTTATATTCTGGTATGTCTGTTTTGATCAGTTACTCAGTTATTGATATGGAGATACTTGAGTAGCCTTTTTACCAAATTACTTGAGGTTATTTCTTGGAAATGCTACTTACTTTCACCAGAGTAAAACCGTACTGATGTATTGCTAATGTTTTTGTTGCTGTTGCTCAGTTACTGGTATTTTGAACCAGTAACGAGCCCCGGTTGACTGGCTGAGTTGGATCAGTCTGATCGTTTTGACCGAGTTGGATCAGTCTGATCGTTTTGACCGAGTTGGATCAGTCTGATAGTTCTGAGTTTTCTGGACTTACAGCAGATCCTCCTCTGGTATCGCTCTATGACCTTCAGCAGCTCCATGCATGTTCTCTGGATGGAGTGGAAGACCTGCAGATGAGATTTAAAAAACAAAAACATTTTCACATACATAACTAAATAAATGAAATACATAGTGCCAATAAGTCTGTTCCGGAGGTAGACAAGTGACTCAAGTGTTTTTTACTCTTACTTGAGTCATTTCTTTGGCAGCGACTTGAGTAAAAGTCGTAGTGCTACTCTTACTGGAGTCAAATATTCAGGTACTTTTCCCAACTGTGCATATGTTTTGTTGTTGTTTAATTATAATTAGAAAACAAGTACACAATTAAATATTAGTAACATCAGCAGGAGTAATAACATTGTACTGTAATTGAAGTTAGATAATAAACACTGAGTGGTTTAATTACACTTTTTTGAAACACAGTAACTGAAAGTCACAAAGCAAATAATTTCCTGCTTAATTTACATTTGTGAATAAAAAACTTGGCTGAACATGCAGTCAGCGGACAATAACCCGGCTGCACAAACGTAGGCTACATGCCAGCCTTAGCTTGTAGCTAAAAGCTACATTAGCTAAGCTAATTTTGCTAGGGCTACAGTAAATGTCACTGACATTTATCTCAGTATTACAAAGAGGCGGGTAGAGTACTCAGTAAATGTAATCGGGGAATAGTTGTATTGATGCTGTTTAGTTTACTGTTGTGATAGCAAACGCTATGACTGCTGCGGTCACCTCTCATCATCACTAAAAGTTTAAAGCTCTGAGAAAAGCAATCTGCTGACTGGCCTCCAGCTTGGCGTCCAGGACGGCGTCTGACGCCACAACGTGCTCATCCTCTTTCTTCCCCGTGACTCTGATCAGCGTCTGCTTGGTTTTCCAGAACTTCTTCTGGAACTTGTTCACCACCGACGAGTCTCGGTCCCGGACGAAGCGGTCCAGATGTTCTCCAGAGGAGCCGCTGTGAAGAGAGGAGGAGCGGGTCGGTGCCGCAGCTGGCGACAGAACCCGGGAAATACTGAGGGATACTCACAGATGTTTGGCCTCCATTTTTTAAGACGACCTGGGGAACAAAAGATTAATGTCAGAAAATTTCCAGAAACCAATTAACACTTCTGGGCTTGAAAAGTTGAACATTTGCTAGAAAAAAATCAGAAAGTTTGAGACTGATCTCAGAAATTTTCTAGAAAAAATAAGGACATTTTTGAAATTGAAGAGGCAAAAATAAAATACTTTTTTTTTAAAATTAATCTAAAAAATTCCGACTTTTGAAATTCAAAATTATAAGAGTTTTTGCTAGAAAATTACTGATATTAACCTTGTTTTTTTTTCTTGCATATTTTCGACATATATTTAAATTTTAAACTTAATTGACGTTTATAGAGGTAAATTCATTAGCTTTGTGGACCTTTCACAATGACTCTTAATAACATAAAAACAGCTATTGTTTATAAATTTAAATATAATAAGTCTCAGTTTTTTAAAGCAAATTTTTAGTTTAAATTTCTACACTGAAAATCCTCGTACTTTTAGTGCAGACATGCTTCATATCAGGTTGGATTTTTAAATTGTTTTTTAAATTTTCTTTTTTCTAAATTGTCTTTATCTTTATTTTAATTCCTACAAATAGAAATAAAATGGTGGTTACAAATTACAACAAATGTTCTAAGTAGATATTTTCAAAATTTCCCAAGATATTTGTGTTTTTAAACAACTTTTAATATTAAAATAACTCTTTAGATTGTAAACATTGCAGATATGCACCACATCAATGCATTTAAATATTAATATCAGATATTAACTACTCAATACCCATTTGTCTAGTTTTTGGAGGTAGTTGGTAGGCAGGTAAAATCTGTTTTGGATTTTATTTTATTTTTACTCTACATATTTAAAATACTCTGAACAAAAAAGACTAGATCAGATCTGTGTAATCTATTTAAGTAAAGGGAAGTATTTCTGCCAATGTATATGTTATTACACTACCATTAATTACAGCAGTATTTAATATTAAATGTTTAGACGTTGGTTTGAAAATGGCGCCCCCTATCCTGCAGTTCCGGCTTCCCCTGCTGCGCGCGGAGCGTCGTCTGCAGCTCGCGCGTCACGACTCCTGTTAATGAGATGATTATGATGCGATTTCACCAAACAGACCTTCGTTAAGCCTCAGTACCGAACAGATACATGAAAAACCTGCGTGTCTTTGTTTCTGTGTCTTCAGCGAAGGTCAAACGTCTTAATTGGGGGATATTTTTTATCAAATAAACAGACTCATTATGCGGAAGCCCAGCGGCGCTTCTGTATCTCTGAATTATCCATGAGCATCACGTCGATCAGAGATAAAGTAAAGACACAAAACTCACTTACCTGAGCGAGAAATGCAGCATGCAGAAACGGCAGCAGCGCCGCATCTCCTCTGTCGATGCAGCAGCAGCAGCAGCAGCAGATTTCAGGCCCGGCTTTATTCTGCACATTTGAACACACAGCTGCTCATTGTCCGTCCGCACGAAACAAGCTGACGTCAGTCAGAGCGCTCTGCCCTCCTCTTCACGGAGGAGACACAAACATCCCGCATCCTGCAGCCACTCTGCACAGGTCAGGACTGTTTGTCTGGCGCAAACATGGCAACACTGCGCGGATTTATGGAGATAGTTGTGCGCTATTAGCGGAGACAATAGAAGGTCTCCAGACTCAATAACTATTTGGAATAAATTATAAAATACACTGCATTAAACTTTATGCTGACATGCAAATGAATTTAGATTCGTATTAACAGTTGATTAATACGTTTTAGCTTCAAATTAAAGAATAAATTATATTATATTTAACATGTTTTTCCCGGTTTCTGCTCTGCAGTGAGAGCCTCAGGTCTGAACATTTACTCTTAACAAGATTCACCCCATTGTTGCAAACCCAGTGACTTTCTTGTTATATTTAACATTTCAGACAAAAAAGAGTCACAACTAAAGTTGTTGCTTTTATAACAATTTCACAACTTAATATCAATACAGGGATGACCTGTTTATTAGTTTGTGGATTAACCAATTAATTATTTGACAGCAGAAGGTGTTTCTGTTTTCTCTTTTGTCATAGAAAAGTTTTTTCCATGCATAAAAACATGTAATGAAAACCCAAACGTTGCTGTTTGCCACCAGATTTTCTCCAGAATCTGTTCTTGGTGACGTCTCACTAAAGGTTGCTGTGAAACATTATCCTCCATAATTATCTCCATGCATTTTCCAGCAGAAAGCTTCTGTCTGATCTACAGATAATGTTGTAATGTCCCACAGTGGCAAAGGAATCAATCCAGTCATTTGAAATCCAATAAATGCTTGTATAAGCAAAGTGAAAGGAGCAATCAGTAAATGGCGATTGATTTATTTTTTCTCTAGAAAAGTAGAATAGCACTGTGATGTATGGAAGCAAAATTAATCAAGCTTTTAAACTCGATTTTTCATGTATCACTTTTTTCCTAATGCAATGTTTTTTTGTTTTTTTTTACAAATATGATTTATAAAATTTTTAAATCCAGAAAAAATAACAGAGGGCAATAAAAAAAAAAACACTTTCATAAATTCAGAGTGTGACAAACAAACCTGGACATTGACCAAAGGTTTTATTGCCAGGACTGGACTTCAAGAAATGCTCAGAGAGGCAGTAGCCCAGGGCTCAGAGTTTTGGGGGCAGCCCAACACCCCTCAAAATTGGAGTGCATTGTTGGTGTTTACCAACCATTTTCAAACTTTACTTCATATTATAATGCTATTCCTTTATCAAAAACAGACCTTGATTTTTGCCTTAATTCCTTCATTCAGCTTTGAGAAATCTTTAAATCTTCATGGTAACCATTCAGCTGTTCAAAACGCCTGGTTGGATTCAGCTCAGTCTTCCTGGCACAATTCCTCTTCTGAGCTGCAGTTTCTAAACTTTTGAGCTTCTGCCTCACATTCTTTATGACTCCCCCACTCTGCTCCTTCAGACTAGCCAGCAGCAATTAGCAAACACTGGGTTGAACTGAGGATCTGCTGAGGTCATCATAGGAGCTACTTCTAAGTGAAACACTGGTAAAAATGTTGTTGGGAGGTTGATAGAGGAGTGCTGTTGTGATGACTTCCTAAAAGTATAGTTTCAGAAAGAACCAGAGTTTTTAAAGCAACGGAGACCCAATTTCAATGCATATGATTACAAAGTCTAATTTCCTTTACGTGATATTTGAGATATAGCATTTTTTTAAAACAATTGAAGGTAAACTAGTTACTCGATTGTGCCATTTCATATCACAATGTGCCTGGAAAACATAATGCTTCCCCTTTAAAACATTGTACTTTTATCAATTTAAACAGAATAAAATATGTAATATTTGAAAATTATCACAGTTTTGGGACCAACGTAGAGTCATCTGCCAGACATTTTAGACCAACAATCCTTTAGTTCGTGCCTGTAAATGTGCAGCACTACTTAATAATGTTCTGTAATTTGAATAAATTATAGGGCATCAAACCGGCTCCAGCCCAGGTCCCTTATTCTCCTAAATGTGGCCCTGGCCACCACACATAATGTGATGGCGAGGGAAGTAAACTAAACTAGGAAAAAACCATATTGCGAACCTGAATCTGTGAATGTCGCAAGAAGGTAACAAAGATTGTAAAACTCAGTAGAAAATTAGTAGCAGCACATTATCCTTTAACAAATCTCACTAGATTTCCTTTTTTTATGCCTCAATCAGACCTGCAGTTCTGTTTCTGACCAAAGGATGGCAGTGTAGCACAAAGGACGTGGAAAAACACCTTTAACTGTCTTCTCTCTGGTGTTTGGGGCCCCAAGCTTTCATCTGTTGGCTTCAATTTATTTCATCACAGCATACTGCAGCTGATCTAATGGCATGTACATTTTGTTGTCACCTAAAGGGGAATTTCTTGTCAAGCTCCCAAATTGATGTACCTGTTTGTAGCCTTGGACAGTATTTGTGCTGCAGAGTCTTGAGGAGTCTGTGAGCAGCATACAGCTCTCTGAGCAGTTACCGTGAGGTACATTTAAACAGCAGGTTATGGATTTATAGTTGGAAAGTGAGCTCTGAGTAAAGCTTTGCAGACTTAATTTGATTATCACTGAGGTAATGTTGAACCCTTTGATCCTTCAGCCGCCGAAGGTCACGTCATGTACAATGCAGCTTGTTTTCATCCGCTGCGCTCTCAGAAAACACGTCGTTGTTGGAGTGTTTTGCATCTTTAACTTCAAAATATCTCCTGATTTGCTGCAGGAAGTTTTTCGACACAGCTCCCAACCGTGACTTGCGATATCATCTAAAGGTCTTTGATACAAACAGGAAGATACAGTGGCTATAATGACTAGCGAACATAATCTCTCTAAATGCCTGTGTCCTTGAACCTATCTGATCTTCCTTGTCCACTTCCAATCTTAAGTTCAGGTCCTACATTGTATTAAATCAATTTGAGTTCACTTGAATAAGGCAGGAACCAATCAGGGTATTAAATTAAGTGATGCTTTTCAAGGGGATCTAATTCAATCAAGATAGAGTCATGGAAATTCCTTTCAGATATTGATCAGGGACATACGTCACTATTGATTTTCTCTGACATCAACAGCAGAGATTCTGCTGTTTCACTCATGAGATTTTTTTATACATAATGAGGCTTGTTTTTATTATTCCACCTCATAAGCCTTAGGCCAATCATAAAAAATCCACATTTTGCATGTTTTTGTATCTCCATTTTGGTCTCTACTGCTCCTAAAAGCAGACCAAACACTTTAAAAAACACCTGGCCATTTTTTAGCAATAAGTTAATGTTTTTGGCGTCTAGAAAATGAGCCATTTCAAAAACCTCCAGGATTAAACGTCATAAATCAACAGGCCCCTTGCCTAATAACCCCAGTGAAACCCAAGCTATTACCTAGCAATCCCAGCTGAGTTTCAGCCCGTTTGGACAGCTGGTTTTACCGCCACATAAACTGTACAATGGCTGCTGGAAAGCAGAATTGGGTAGTAGCTAGTTAAATTTACTTGACAAACAGAAACATTTGCAGATTTTCACAAATTCTTAAGAAAAATTTGTCTTTTGCGTGATTGTGTTGTTTTTAAAATATTTTTTTCTTACCAATTACTTTAATTTTGGTCTTTAAAATACCAACATTTCCACATAACTTGATATTTAAGTCAGTCTGTTAACTTTTGAGTATTAAATGATTGATGTTTTGATATACTGCTTTGAATGTGAGTAGACTTTTTACATTTTTACCACATGGTTTTTTTACTCTTGAGTTATTTCTTGGAAGGCTGCTTTATAGTTTTGCTTGAGTAAAAATATGTTGAAGTAGTGCTACTTTTAGGTGAGTACAACTATAGGTACTCTACCCAACTCTGTGGAAAAGACAACTGTTTTGTTGTTCACTTACAAATCAAAAAACACTTGCTGTATTCTTGTTGGCTGCGCAGGAGGCTCTACTTCTGCTTTTCAAAGCTATACAGTTGTATAATTGTGCATCTGTTCCAGTGAGGATTTAAAGTGACAAGACACCCTAAGACAGATCGAGGAGCTCAAAGTGGGCAGAGAGTCTCGTGATATAAGTCTGATTTTGTACAAATAATGTAATAATTGTGTTTTGTATTGCGAATAAAAGCACCTCTACCATCAGGTCACCTGAAACAACGGCCATTTTTCTGGGACCCATTTATATGAGCGGCACCCCGCTCTTCCTGGGGTGCCTGGCATGACCCCAAAAATTGCTCAATTGACTTTTTCCATCCGCAGTTACGTGTAGTGATGAGGAACCGTGACATTTACATTTGCACCACTCTGAAGCGATCTGCAGCTCCGCAGCAGTTTTCAACGCAGACTTTAGGCTCAAAACAGGTCACAGGATCAAAAGTGTCTCTCGCCCCGAGGAGCCACCGAGTCGATCCTTTCCATTTCTGCATCAAATGGGTTTTTTTCCCCCCTCTCTTGCTCTTTTTTTTCTATCTCTTTCTAACTCGGTGGAACACATTTAGATCCTGAGTAGAACTCCTCGGTGCCCACTCATCACTCTGCGTGCTGTTTGAAGATTACTACGCTCAGAGACATCCGCACTGGGCATCCAGGCAGCTTAGAGGCCAAAATCCATAATCCCTTACCCTTCATGGGAATTCTCCATGCACTTCAACATGCTGAAATACAGCCCCGCCGCAGCAGGCACTCATGGCCGAGGAGCTTCTGGACCCCGAGGCTGAGCGAGATGGATGACATGTCTCAATGAATGTGGAGGAAGTTTAAAAAAAACAAGTCAGATACTGATAATAGTCTCTTCCCAGAAACTAAATTGGAAAGCGGGGAGTTCTTGGTTGGAAGGTGTTTTATTTCTAATGTTTGTATGCACACTACATCTCTTAGTCCACATGCTTTATGTGTACCATAACAGCCTAGAAGACATTTTGCTCTGAAAATATAGGTTCACTGGTGCCTCCCAGCAGCAGCGCAGTCTCCCCACCAGTCGTCTCAATAAAAAATTTCCTCTGAGGCTGTGGCGCCTTATTAAAAAGCGTAAATAAATGTAGTTCCTTGATTTAGTAATCTGCATGAACAAGTAATATGTAAAGTTCAGTC